CCTCTCCTTTTCCTCATTCACTCATTTTAATTCAATTTCTCACTTCTCCCAGCTCATAATATCAGAGTGACCCTGCCACTATCAATTTCCCTTCTTCGCTCCCATTTACCGTTCACGCCGACTAGGTTAATCTTGCCGCTGTTCTATATCGCTCCCCCGCCTGCCGAGCAGTATATTCCCGTTCGCGCTTGTTTGTCGACATCATCGCTCCTAGTCTATCACTAGTTCTTATACACCAGTGCTCTATCGAGAGCCCAAAGACAATAGTCGGCATTGTGCAGGCTTATTGGAATCAGGTACCAACTCCTTGCGCAAGTACCTATTTCTTGTTTTCCCACATTGCACCAACCCACTTGGGGAATCTGATGGCTAGGAACATCAGTTGAGATGCTTCAAAATCCAAGAAAATACAATTCTTCAACCTTCTTATCTTGTGTAATTGCTAATTACTTGTTTTTTGGTAGTCCCTCGACTTTCGTTGTCAAACTATATCCTCGTCGACCACCGCCCTACGTTAAAACAGTCCGGTTTCAGATACCGGGCTCAGGTTAACGATCAAAACGGCGGTGCTTTCTCCCATTCAGGGCAGTCCTGTCCTTCCCCGACATTTGCTCGCAATGCAAGCGTCGGACGTCGCTCACGCGCCCAATCCTGCTGTGGGGAATCGCTTGATGCAGTCAGTCTCGAAGTTTTCAAACGCAACTCCAGATTCTACCGGTTTCTCCCACGGGGCATACTCCGGTAATCTGTCTTTCGCGGACCGTAATTCTCGTCGAGCCAACATTCCTGCTATCAATACAAGCGCAACTGGTCCAACTTCCGGTGATATCACAAGTGCCAACAACGCTTTTGATATGAATTTCGCGCCGCTTCTTCCTTCACAACTGCTCTTAGGCAGCCCCTTCCAGACAGGCACCCCTTCATTTGCATCTCCACAATTCCAGAGCTTCCAAGGGTTCTCCCAGGTCAATGGCAGTTCGCACGGACAGAACTCGCAGAACCAGCTCAATAGTCCAACGCAACCCCAACACAACCCGCTGTCGCCCCAGCTCTACCAGAATCTCGTTTCACCTGATGGAATGGGTGGTTCTCAGTTGCTAGGAGGGCCTCAATCACCTGTTGGTGGGTTTCCTGGATTTGCTAATGCTTTTGGAACCGCGAACCCATCGCTCCAGCCTGGGATCTTGTCCGGCACAAGCCGTACTGTGTACCTAGGAAATCTCCCGGCAGAGACGACTGCAGAAGAGATCCTGGGCCACGTTCGGAGTGGTCAAATTGAATCAGTTCGATTGCTCCCAGATAAGAATTGTGCCTTCATCTCCTTTTTGGATAGCAGCTCCGCAACCCATTTTCACTCAGATGCGATCCTGAAAAAGCTCTCGATAAAGGGAAACGACATCAAAATTGGATGGGGCAAACCTTCTCAAGTCCCAACTTCCGTAGCCCTTGCAGTCCAACAGTCCGGAGCGTCGAGAAACGTTTACTTGGGTAACCTTGCTGAGGATGTTACAGAAGCCGAACTTCGCGAAGAGCTTGGTAAATTTGGTCCCATTGATACTATAAAAATTGTGCGCGAAAAGTCGATTGGATTCGTTCATTTTCTTTCTATTAGTAATGCCATCAAGGCCGTGAATCAACTTCCCCAGGAACCGAACTGGCAGCCTCCAAAGCGTGTTTATTATGGGAAAGATAGATGCGCCTACGTTTCAAAGACCCAGCAACAAAATGCTGCTCAGTACCTGGGAATTGCTCCCGGTTATGCACATATGTTGAATTCCGCGGATAGAGACCTGATTTCGAATGCCCTAGCCCAGCAGTCGGTCGCTGCAGCTGCAGTTGCAACTGCTGCAGGCGGTGTGAACAATCTTGGAAACCGAACTGTTTACCTTGGAAATATCCACCCAGAGACAACTATCGAAGAGATTTGCAATGTTGTTCGCGGAGGCCTGCTGCATCATATCAGATATATTCCAGACAAGCACATCTGCTTCGTCACCTTTATTGACCCGACATCCGCCGCTTCATTTTATGCGCTTAGTAACCTGCAGGGCCTAATGATTCATAATAGACGGCTAAAGATCGGCTGGGGAAAGCATTCAGGTGCCTTACCACCAGCGATTGCCCTGGCTGTAAGCGGTGGTGCTTCTCGAAATGTTTACATTGGCAACCTGGATGAGAGTTGGACTGAAGACCGACTGCGACAAGATTTCTCTGCTTATGGTGAAATTGAACTTGTAAACACCCTCAGGGAAAAGAGTTGCGCGTTTGTTAACTTCACCAACATTGCCAATGCAATCAAGGCAATTGAGGGAATGCGTGGTCGTGAGGAGTATAAGCGGTTCAAAATCAACTTTGGCAAAGATCGGTGCGGTAATCCTCCCCGTCAACTGAATAACGGCCACCAGGCCCGAGCGGGTGCAGATGGAAACAACACCATGATTAATGGGGCCCTCCACGCTTCATTCAACCAAGGAGCGCAGCAATCTAGCCCCACAGGGCCAGCACTATCTCCCGCTCCCGGCTCTACAGGCTCACAGGGGCCAAATGGACACCAAACTCGACACCCGTTGCAGGCAATCCCAACGCCGTCATCTATCCTTAATACTGGCGCCAGCAATCCTCTGACAATGTACCTCAACCATGTTTCGCAGCAGCAAGCTCAGGAACAAGAGAATCGAATAAACGGCTCCATGGGTTTGGGCTCCTTTCAGCAACAGCAACAACAGTCACACCAACAGCAAAATTATGCCCACCAACAGCCTGGTCTTTACAATGGCACTAGAGCCAGTGACAGCCCCAACTCGCTGGAAAACTCCCTTCATCAACAAAAGCCATCCACCCATGGCCTCTTGAGCGCCACCAATGCTACAAACTCTGGGCACCTTGCTTCCAGTGGTAGCACGTTGAGTGTTCCTCGTGCCCAGCATTCTCGAGCCGTGAGCCTTCCTTCCTTCTCTCAAGAGCCATTCGGACAAAATCATAGCCTGGCAACGCGCTCAGGCATGACACATCAACCGCAGGGAAGTTTCTCCAGCTTCGGTGGCGGTTTAGGTGGCCTTAACCACAGCGGTTTTGGACTCTCTATTTCCAACGAAAATTCGCTCCCAGGATGGGCCGAAGAGGAGATTAGAGCAAAATAATCTTATGATATATTGTATTATTTTTAAGCACTTCTATTTTCTTTTTCCTTTCGCCCTAATTTTCTGCGTTCTATTCTGCCCTATTCGCTGCCCGTTCCTCTGTTCCCTGTTTCCCCTGTATTGGTTTATAATTTTTCCTCGCGCTTTGGAAGCTTTCTTCATCTCCATATTTGCCATTTAATTCGCAATATCTGGGAACATATTATATATTTTTAATTTGTCTTGACAGGTTTAGTTCTCGGTGCCTGCAACCATTCCGGTCGACCGTGATCTACTTTGAAGATGGAACTCAGACATGCAAATACCCTGCTATATGGCGCTCTTTTCTTTTTATTTTCCCGCCGTTTTATCTCCTTGGGATATCTATTTGTCGCCATTTTTCCGCTTTCGTTTTGCCTACACCGTTTTGATCGTTTGACATTCGCGATTTAGTTTTTCTATCATTTTATTGCTATTTATTGTGATGCCACTTGATACTACTTAATAATTTCCCTGCTCAAATCTTTGTTTCATGAGGCCGCGTCTTCATCGCAAGATGGGCGTGATAAAGAGACAGTATGGTCCAACGACAAGGGTGCATATTGGGAGGAGGGCTCGTGAGTGACTCGGTCATCGAAGAGAAGGGAGCATGGTTCCATAGAATTAAATACCCCATCCTAATACATCAAGCTCCATTCTCACTATCTCCGGCTTGCTGGCTTCTCCCCTGTAGATTGCCGTTTTCAAACAATATGGACCTGCCAAAGTTCCACATCACGTGACGCATCACTTTATTTCAACCTCTTGCAGCTGCGAGCAACGAACTTCAACTAATGACAAGCCGGCTTGTGATCTCTTGTTACAAACATATAGCGTCAGTGTGAATACATTCTAGCAAGTGAAGTGATTGTTTCTATATGAGATCATGTCCTTGCCTCCAGAGCAGATCCGCATCAAGCGTCGCAGGGAGGAAGAACCTGTGGAGACTCTGTGTATGTGTTATCCATCCTTGCTTCTTTATTGACTTGCCGCCTCGCGAGATATATAAACTGCTCGCTTTGTGATCTTGACAGGAAGAGTCAAGCTGAAGTTTATTTCTGGTTCCGTTTGTCTATTCACTATTATCGTTTCTCAGGTCCAAATCCCACCCTTGGGGACCCAAGCTCTTGTGTTTTTGACTCTCGAATCTATACTGGAGCTCTCGAGACGATTTGCACTAGCTTTGCTATATTTTTTTTTTGACTTTGCCTTTGTATCTGCTGCTTTATCCTCCACAGTGTGATAATCGACTGGTCACTTCAACTGTAACCGGCCTGTGCTGATTTATTTACAGATATCCAATCACAAACACGCGAGCCAAAGAGGCGCTTCACAGATTTTGTGTTTAAGCGTGTGACCCCAATTCAAGATGAAGCTTTGGTTAGTGGCATGTCGAGTCCGGGTGGTGCCAAGGGTATAACCAAGACCACCCCGCGTCCAGATAGCATGAGCGCCGCTATCCAGGGACCTAGTGTGCCGATTGTTAGAGCTACTGAACCAGGAGCAGAGGTTGAAGAGTTGCGCCATCTACTGGAGTTAGCGAAGAAAAGAAGCAGAGCCAGCTTGGCTAAGCCGCATACGCGATCCGTTTCCGCGAAATTTCCATCTCAGTCGTCGTCTCAAGCGATGTCGACGGTTTCGATTCAGTCTGCTCTGCGCAAATTCTATATCACAACGCCGGAGCCTGACGATCTTGTGCTTCACAAGGTTGGAGGCGGAGTGCTAAAGAGAAAGCTGCCCAAACATGCAGTGGTTGTGGAACAGAAGGGTGACGGTATCAAGTCTGTTTCAACACTAGGCGAACTTGCGAACGATGTTGGTGGCCCTTCCAATATTAGGGCAGAAGATGTAAAGCGCGAGGTCGAAGCGGCAGATGGGAAGTCCTCCATCACAACCTCGAGACGACGTCGCGTTGTTAACGAGGCCGAACGACGATGGAAAGAACAAACTGGTGCATATCGATATTTGGATCGCCAGGACCATAAAGAAAAAGAGAAAACTGGCAAGTCGATTCGCGATGACCCCGCTACTTGGGATTATGACTCTATCCAGCTAGTAAATGAACTAGAGCAGGCTTCTTGGGAAGCGATCGCTGCTGACCCTACTAATCCCGTTTACCCTCCACGGCCGCGGCGCCGGCGTTATTTGCCTATAGTCAAGCCTCCTCTCAAATTTCAACCGCGATTGCCAAAGCATCAACGGGACAGGGATAAGGGCCGTGGAGGCGTATTTGGCCAGCTTGATGAGTCTGGTGGATCTAGTAAGGAGTCCGCTGCCTGTCACGAAATTTCTACAGTTGGAAAGGGCCTTGAGGATGTATCGTCCATGAGAAATGCTTTGGAGGAACATGTAGTCTGTGCCAAGGTTGAAAACGACGATGACACAGACTATGTTTATGATATCTTTATTCGACGCCCGCTTCAAGAAGTTGCTGGTGACCCAAAATTCGTCCCATTCCATGACGGCCACTGGTACGCGGAGCATGAGAACGTTCCGAAAGACATTGGAGTGGTTGTCATTTCAGAACAGGACGTACATTACTGGGACGCACTGGCCGAGGACGATGACGAGGAAAAAGGCTGGAATACGGATGACGAGGATTCAAACGGTGAGCCTTTTTATTTCCTTGGGCTACATTTCGTGGACAGCCGCTAATGTTCGATCTAAATTTCAGCTGAAGATAATCCCGCAAATGAATATCCCGATGAAGATCTCGATTTTGAAGACCAGTTTGACGATGTCAACGCCGCATACTGCAAGTATCGACACTACGGGTCTGATGATGAGCAGTTCGATGTAGACGACGAAATGGACGACTATGGAAATAAACCATTTACATTTGCTAGCTCTGCAGAGGCCTCTTCTGACGGTGCGGGGAGTCCATAGCAGTGAGCAGGAGCTCATGGTTAACAGCTGGCTAGCAGTGGGTATTTGAGAGACTAATATGCCAATGAATTCTTCCTTAATTTATCAAGACAGAACTTTGCAGCTGCTCTCTTTATTCATGTGAGATCTCGTCTAGTGATTCGCTATGGTTGTTAAAGAAATCAGCCTATGGATTCAAGGCATGGACAATATAAAGAAATAGGATTGGTATATTATGCTAAGATCAAGTTCGTTCGGGTTATTAACATTCTTGGCAGGGTTCGTCAATATTTCCTTGGCATAGCGGAGCGGAGCGGAGCGGGATTCTGCTCAGTCATCCACGTGACCTCGCCAGAAATCTAAATAGCGGCAAGACATCGATTTGCGAACCAAAATACACCTTCACCCGTGTGAAAATAATCAAACAACTATTTACTTTTCTCCCTTTGCAGCCTAGCTTCGGCGCTGGCCTTTATAACCTTTGCCACCTCTGGTTTATTTCTCATGCTCTCAAGCCACCGATGCGCATTCGGAACCTCGCTCTCCACGTTTAGCCCTGTCATCTCCGGCAGACCGGATTGCCACGGAATAAACGCAAGATCGGCAAAGGTGCACTTGTCGCCGACCAGAAACTGTTTATCCGCGAGCCATCCATCCAACACGTTCGTCACCCGCTTGACCTCCTTTGCATAGCGCTCGATCGCGCTCGGGATTTTCTCGTCATGGTAGTTCTGGAACCAGTACCATTGTCCGAAATATGGGCCCTGGCCGGACATTTGGAAGTGCAGCCATTGCTGGGTGAGATGGTACTCTTTGGTGCCGATGGGGAAACTGAGCTTGTGTTCGGTGTCGTATTGGGTGATGACATAGTTGATGATAGCGCCGGATTCCCAGATGGTGAAGTTGTCGTTGTTTGGATCCACGAGGGCTGGGGAACGGCCGTTTGGATTGATAGCGGTGAAGGCGGGACCTTTGAGTTCGCTGTATGGGACGTCGATGAATTCGTATGGGAGGCCGAGTTCGGAGAGAACGATGGCGACTTTGAAAGGGTTAGGAGCAGCCACGCTACCGTGGATTTGGAGAGGTTTGAGAGCCATTTTTTTGGTCTTGCGTAATGATTTGAATTTGAAATTCTAAGAGAGGAAAACTTTGCGTGGTGAAATTTGAATTGACAGAAGTATGCTTCCATTCTGGAACTCTTATATCTTTAGAACTTGCAGTCCCAGATACTGCTCCTGTAAAAATTGCTGACAATAACAAGACACTGATTTCAAATCCATCTCCGTTTCCATAGGCGGCCTTCACGGACGAAACAAGCGGCTTCTATCGTCTCCTGAAGATGAGGCCAGTCACTTTTGTCAGCGCACACTAAACAACAAGCCCTCAAACAGGCATGCAAGGGTAATTCACGCGGAGCCAATTCTCCACCTCTGGACGAAGAGGACTGAGAATCACCCGAATAGGAATCCCGAATGGCCTTGGACGGGCCGGCGCGGACGAATAGAGTTTCGGGATGCGGCGAGCGGGAGAGGCCGAGATGATTAATGAGGCCGAGTTGACAACTTCAGAAAAACCCCGTAAACCCAGCACGTTTAAACCGAAAGCCGTTTGGGGAAACGTCATGAACCGTCCGGTATAATCATGTACTCGATGTTGTTGCCTTGGCATACTTGTCATCATTATTTCCACTTCGTTGAACTGCATATATGTAGTCCTCCCGTTGAATCCGTGGAACAAATAGCCTAGGTAACTTCCCATGATTCTGGAGATCAACCATAAACCCTTTCCTTACTGTACCGGATCCCATATGATCCTGATCTCAAAATCAACCAATGGCCAAACCACTCTGTGGACAGCACTGGTTAGTTTCTCTCATTTAAGTTATGGTTTGGTGAGCAAGCGTGCTTGCAAACACCACCATTTACTCTGTCCTCTCCACATCCCTTTCTCATTTCAGTGATACTACCTGTCAAGTGGCCTTTTCCTAACCATTAAGATACCCAAGGTGCGCTTCCCAAGTTCCCAGAGCCTATTATTTTGCTTTGATACCCCCTATTTTTCCTTTTTCTTCTTTCTATTTTAACTTAAGCTCACCCTCGGGCCTTCTGTCCCCCGTTGCCCAGCAGGCTTTAGTGCCCGTACCCTCAGATCTTCCACAGGCTTTTCCTAATTGTGATCCTGCCACACAATGGTGATATCATGATGCGCAGGCTTAAAACATTTCTCCAAACATATGAAGCATGTCCCCACATGTTTGGTTTTGAAATAGATTAAAGTGATGGGGCTTCTGCTTCTCTGTGGTACATACATCCCATCAGATGGGCTGCCGTATCACAACAAATGAGAGCACCCCAATGTTGTTGGGTGGACATTCTTGATCACCACACTGGAAATCTCTTGGATGGCCCTCTCCCCAGGGTATGAAGAGTAGTATCTTGTGTCACACACTCTGGTGGAATAGTCACATGCTACTATCTATGAGACTTTGATCATGTTATCCACTGTTAGATGATGTCAACAAGATACCATGAAGCAAGTCCATGGAGGGCGAAAATTTTTAAACGTGAATTCTTTAAATGTTTGACATTATGCAAATTTGTTGGAAACTTAGTTTCCAACTGTATCAAAGTGCAAGGGCCTAACCTGTTAGCTGCACATGAACCGAAGATGCATACCTCGACAGGCCAATGAGCTCTGCAACATAGAGTTGAACCACAGTAACCGAGACATTCCAAAGATCAAAGAAGTTTTCCTGCAGCTTTATCAACAACCAGTCCTTTCTTTTTAAGAATACAATCCAATCACCAAGACTCCAAAGTGGATGACCAGTAGCAAAACACCTAGGAACGCTATTATTCTGACTGACAAAACCCGCTAAATCCAATAAAGTAAAGAAGCAAGCCCAAAAATAAAAAGAAGCATGCGTAGTAGAAACCCAGTCCCCCAACCGTAAATCGCCGAAAAATCCTCACCAGGTAGAGCGGCCTCCCATTGATAATATAACGCAGCTCCAGCCCGCACAGCGGATTCGATTGCGTGGAGTTTATAATTTCCCCCCGCAGGACTGAGGGATTCTTTGGTCCAGGAGCACGCACGCTGAATAAACTATGAACGAGGGCGGTGAGGCATTAGTGGGTAATCCAGCACCCACTTCCGTATTAAGCGGAAGCCAAATGTATCAAGAGCGAAAAGGCAATGAAAAGCAATAAGCATCTCATGGTCCGAACAGCCCAAGCCCCTTTTTGAGAAATGCTAACTGCTTTTCGGCAAACAATAAAAGTGATTCGAATATATTTGCCATCCAGCCGCATGGCAAAACGCGGGATCCTTGAAGGGTATCAGAAAAGCTGTCGACAACAGAAAAAGTTAGCATGCGGGCCTCTTTGTTTCATAAGGTTTTTGAGCAAAGTTTGAGGCATGAAAGGTATCCGAAAGCAAAAGACAACAACTTTCAAAACATATGGTTAAAAAACAATTTCCTGGAAACTTACCAAGATGTCGCTGCGGGCCGTAGTCCGTTCATCCGTAGCTCATAACTGTATCGATAAATGATATAAAATCGAGAAATGGCCGCCCAGAAAACCCCATCTTCAAGCAAACGATCCCATCATTCATGGTCTGGAGGTGGAGGGGGGGCAGTAGGAGCATGAGAAGGATGCATCCATGGGAACCAAACATTGCACCACTTAACAACTCCATAAGCAGGTGATTCGTCATGCCCCCCGTTCTTAGGGCTGGTATTATCTCCATTCCGCCTCCTCCGCTGCTCGCGCAATGTAGGACAGTTCTTTTCTTTGATAAACCGATAGTATTTGCACTGAATTCCCTGAAACCCGTTCCGTTTGCGCTTTGGGAATTGCTTATTGAAACTCTCCCGGACCTCTCTCCATTCTTGACGCAGATCGACTCGGTGGTACCAAATGAAATACATCTCTTCTTCCTCGTATTTTGGCCGTGGCGCACGACGGTGGTCAGGATTTGTAGATGAGCCGCTTGACACAGACGGAAACCGTTCCCTTCGGTATGGTCCTGGCGAGGAGCTATCAGATCCGCAGCGTCTATCGGATGGGTCGGGGCGAGTGTCGATGGGCGATAAATTGTTATTGGGATATTGGATTGGTTGAATTTGAGAGAGATGGGGTAGATGGTTGGATATTGGCGGGAAGCGATCGTGGTGGTGGTGGTGGTGATGATGATAATGGTGGTGATATGGTTCTTGCCATGATCCAGACGGATCTCTCGTATAAGGCTCGCTATCGCAGTTCGGGTTTAACAGGTTGTCGATTTTGATTCTTCTTGACGAGGTGGGTTCCGTTGAGGACTGCGGCCCGGAGGTATCAAACCTAGCGGGCGTCATATTTCTGAGCGGCCGGCCAGCAAACCAGAGCTCACAGCCTTGGAGATTTATGTATACGTCTCGACTAACTTTGGGCGAAGTTTCTGGAAAATGTTAAGAGGCACGCCGCTGCAAAATCTGGAACGATCAAGGGAGACCGCGCTCCAGGTGTTCAGGCTCTTCAAAGAACTTCTCGAAGACCAAAATGGTACGGACGATATCGAAAGCAAGAAGAAACTGAAAGGAGGACCGCTGTTCAAGTTGAACGAAATCCTTAATGCGAAACAATGTGCCGGCCTTGGAGAAAGCGATCGGGCAGCAATAAATAATCGCAAAGTCGCAGAACCGAGTCCGACTCTGAGTATCTCAAGTTATTATCGGGAGCACAAGGGCCACGTTCGTCACGACGGCCCATCCAATCGGGCTGATGGTGTGATATCGAACGTAGAGGGGGATTTGATCGAGTGTTTGAAAAGATGTGACAATTTGAACTCGACTTGCTTTGTGAGGGTAAAAATCTTTTTGGCCTTGGCCGGTACCGTCAAAAGAAAAGACTTTGGGTTGAGGATATAAAGTCAGTCAAATACTTTTCCAACCTTGGGGAGGAAACAGTAGGGTAGAAATTCCAAAGGAAAAAGGTACCACGGTGCGCAAAGGGCTATACTTGTACAGTATACGTTATGTGCATGCAGTTGGAAAAGCGTCCCGGTTATCTGGAAAATCAAGATAATAGCACTGCAGGGAACCAGTAGGGTACGGTGGTACACGCCTCCACATAGATTCTCGGTACAAAAAACACCGCACCCAAATTAGGACTACTTCTGGCAGGGGCTGTGGAAGGGGCAAGAGACCAAGGGAGCTAGTATTACCAGAAAACTTGTCTGGATAGTATATTCCCGGTAGTTTAGGTCTACCAAGGACAAGAAGATTGCGGTCGAGGTAACAGGGGCCAGGGCAGGGGAAGTTTGAAAGATAGTCGTAAGGCGGGCTTCATACGTTGAAGATCGAAGAACAGGGGGAACTGCGAACAGACAATGTAGTCAAGAAGATTACAAAACAAGTGAAACGCAGTCATAGGCAAAGAAGTTCCGGTAAGGTAAAGTTACCTGCTCAGTCCGCGCATAGACGCCACACCCCAGTCGCATATGCATCGAATCAGTAGGATCTGAGATGGCTCATGAAAGGTTGTTCAGTAACCGTCATCCGAGAGCCTGGTACTGGTTGGCTCTGAGGGAGAGAATGCGGAACCGGATGGAAGAGATCAATAATAATGAACAAGACTATACCCAATATACTTTTGGGGAACGAGAGTCAAAGAGAAAATTGAGATTACGGCAAAAAGGGACCTAAATAGAACAGAATGCTTCCGAGTATATGGAGTATAGAGTACTCCTTCTCCTTATAAAGGGGGGAATTCTGCAGGAAGATATATATATCAGCAAGCGCAACTTCCTTCGGAGGGGGCCTTTGGGGCGCAAGAGCATCTGTCCACCCGTCCATCCCTCATTATTTCCGAAGGACCAGCGCTTTTTTTTTCTCCAGCATGCATATGTTCTGCAGCATCACTCAAAACGGACGACTAACAGGCCAGAAGGGGAACCAGTGGTCCAGCCCCAAGGTCTGACAAATGGATCCCGTTGGCTAAAAAAGCCGCGGGGCTAAAAAAGAGTTCTTTTTTCTTTTTGCTGGTTGGAGCTAGAGCTGTTAGTGATAAAAGAGACCCAAAAAAGGGTAACTTACGAGTCCAACCTGGCTTTTCCTTGATGGTGAGTGATTTTCCATTGCGGCACGCTTGGAGAAATAAAACGCGGAAGCGAATGTGATCCTTGGGTCGAGATGCCGGAAAGGTTTAGCTGACTGACGCCGTTCCAGAATGCTGCGAACTAGCTTTCACATTGAGGTTGAGGATCAACTTCTTTTCTTCATGCCGGGCTGCACGCGAGATCGTGTAATACACGGTAAACCAACGGCGGGAATACAGCAACGGCATCGGGGTATCGGATGTGAAAGCCAATGCCTGTATTCTAAGAGCCAGGTGCAGATGGATTTAGCCGGCGCATCACTGGTTGTTTTGGGCGCTGGGCAAATCAGACAGCAGCTTCAGCCGTTGGCTCGTGGCATTTTGTTGGAGAAGAGTGAGGATGAGGTTTCGTCCAGGATTGCGAGCTTAGTTTGAGGTGGAACTGGTCGGCAATGGGATGGCGTTCATTTAGGGTTGGCGGACACTGCTTAGTCATGGGTGGTGCGAGTGCGGATTGCCGCTGGTCGATGGGTGGGCCAGCACCTGCAGTAGCACGAAACTTCAGCAGGTGACCGCGTCTGGGATGCCTGAGGTTTGGGGATGGTGCCGTACAAGGGTGAATGACAAATACTCGCTGTTTCGGTAATCGACCTGTAATAGCGTATGTTTGGTATGTACGGGACTGTTACCACCTGTAAATGACTATGTCCTCGACTCCATATCAACTCAAAATCTTTCCGGTACAAAAGCTTTGGAGTTGGATATTATGAGATCAAAACTAAAACAATGTCCTCTTGGAAAGGCAGTGCTCGAAGCATCCAACAAGATACCGACGACACACAGCTTCAATAAGGTTGTGTCGCATTTGGCCAAGCAGCCATCATGCCAGTCATCGTCAAATCACCGAACTAGCTTGCGTCGAAATGCGCTTCTCTCGGAAAGATCAAGCAAATCTGATTCGAGAATGGCGAATAAATGCTGCCTTTTGCGTTACAGGCGACAGTCATATATGTACGTAACGAGCTCCTGCTGCGGACACTCCCAAAGTTCAGCCTTGATCCTCAATCTCGAAAACGAATGTGATTCATTGCTCCGTCACGAGTCAACCTTGTCAAACTCTGTGCCCTTTTTTGAGAGGGGGGGGGCGCTGACAATCAAATGTAACGAGAATCGCCCCGATACCATGGAGCCCGTCGTTACAGGGAAATATCGGCCTGCTGAATCCGGCGTGCCTCTCTCCAGTCTCACGCCCCTTTTATTCCTTTCGTTTCCGTCAGTCAGTTATTATTGATAATTGAGCTTTGGGGGCTTCGAGGGACCAGGCATCCGGGTCGTTCTTGACGGAAGGCGGCCGGCCAAGGGGATATCCGTAGGCCCGGGGATGACCTGATGTGACTTCTCCAGAGTCACAAATATGGAGATATGCATCCTCGGGTCATTTTAGGCCCTCGTTATTTCTCACTGGCTGAAATTACCCTTGCATTGTTTACGGGAGGCTTTGCAACCTATTATTAACCCATGTCTGGTCTCAATTTTGAGCCCAGCCTTTTTATTATTATAATTGTTTTTTAATTTACCGTCCATGTTACTATGTGCTATGAGATGTGTTTATTTCATACTCCGATCAAATCACATAGTTATCGCATATCTCCATCTTCTCTGCCCAACGAAAGGGTATAAAAAGGGCGACTCTGCACTAGAAAACCAGTTCACTCGGATTCCAGGATCGTTAGCTTGGTGCATACTGTCGCTCTGCTGGGGCTGTGGAGAAAATCGCAAAATCAGAATATCATTTCTTCTCCATAGCTCGATCCTACGTGCATGCCTTGCTTTGAAGTCTGCATCTCGGTCATTTATATTCGAAGATGCAGCGTACACAACACGCCTGAACAGAGTGTGAAGCAACATATATGAAACATGGCATGGTTAGAAAGTTGGGTGACGAAGTGTATTCGCACAACTCAAGTACTAGAAAGAATGCTGCGAGACTATGTGGCAGGTTGGCTTCCTTGAGGGAAAAAAGATGGATCTGTTGACCTTGGCCCCACGGCTGCAGCGGATGAGGAGTGGGCGCAGATAAAGGCTGTGGTGTATGGGGTAGATTGCTGGGTCCACTGTGTCTCCGCATGCAGAAGGGAGGATGTTCCAAGTCGAAGAAAGTCCAGGGTTGTTTTAAACTTCCTTTGTTTGAGCAAAAAGGACAGCATACAACCACACCGGACCTCATTTATGATCGGGAATAAGGCCTCAAGTGACAATCAACCGCTGAGTCGGAAATATGGACGAGAAAAATCCGAGTTGCAACTCTGTGGCTGCTAACTAAAGGGGGAAAGGAAGGGGGCTAGAAGCATTCAACAACCGCAAAGGAATGTTTCGAGAAGCGTCACGACGGGTAACTCCTGGCAATTGACCCAACAATTGGGAACAGGGTAGCATCGGAAACATAAAAAGGCAGAGGCTAAATGCAAATCGAGCGACTACATCCTTAACAGCAGTGGGCTTGGACGAAAGGATCCAAAACCCTCTTGCTGTTGCGCCCAACATTGCTATCATTGTTAGCAACACGCGAAAGTATGAAGCCGTTCACATGAGATTCTGCAGAAACGATCACGAATCCTCAATGATGTCATGAAACGGCCGTGTCCAGTTGAGTGGCCGTACACAAAGACTGCAAATGATAAAATTAGAACCTCTTGTGGCTTTTTTGGCTCTCAGGTCACAAAAGTCTTTTTGCGAGGAAAAAGAAAGTTATTCAGGAAAAGGAATTATTTTAAAGAGAAAAAAAAAGCAACGGATTTGGATTAGTGCTTTGAATGGCAAATAATCTTGAACGATCCTTGTCATAGCCGTGATGATCAGCTGAAACCCGTTGGATTTCCCTTGAAGAACTTGGAGCTTCGAATGAGAGGACAGAGTTTTCTGTTGGAAGACGCATGGGCTTCGCAGTTGTCCGAAAATCTTTGCAACTTTGCAAGGTCTCGTGCGCTTGTTCGCATGCCCATATGCATCGAAAACTCGGTGACCTGGGGGAAAGAGCTGGCAAGGATGGGATCAACGAGAGGTCTGTTCGTGGCTGCGATGAGACATGTCAGCGATAGGCAAGCCAATGCGAAAGAAATGGGCTGTTCAGAATGCTGCTCCTCCGTTTTGCAGAGATCGCCTCACCACACAGGGAGGGGATGAATCGAGGGCCACCAGCGAAGTAAGAGTGAGTTTAGCAAACGAGCTGCCGAATCGAGACACTGGCAGATAGGACAGACCAGCTCCCAACATCGATCTTCCGTCTGTGGTCTGATCTCAGGCTGCTGGCCAGGACTGCGTCGCATCAAGGCCACAGGCAGAGTGGACGAAAGTGCAGGCCAACATGAAGGGAGGTGCGAAGAGAGTGCGTATTGGAGGGGGAATCCCTGCAGAACCACACTGTTGGGACCGGCCGCAGCCAGTCGATTAAGTGGAGCCGGCGGTGAAGGTTACGTTGTGGTGTTTCAAGGGACGCGCCGGAGCCTGGGGGCCCTTGTTAGCGGTGGTTCAGGGTGGGAGGGCCTGGCGAACAGCTCCGGCCACTTAGGGTTGGGGGGTCCGTCTGCCGCGCGACTAGCCTGAAGAAACCGGAGGCGCTGCTGTAATGTCCGAAAACATTGTCATCAGAGATGAAAATGAACGGGAAAATAAAAAATGATAACAAAATTGCCTGTCTCCCTCTTGAATCGGGGTTGGCTCCAGGTCGACCCTCTTTGATAATGCGGTTGTTCTCCTACTGTCTCGAGGGGTTGTCTGTAGTATACCGACTGTACGGTGTATTGTATGTATCATCGTATTAGATACGACGTCATGATATTGATGATACATACAGGCTGGTGTGACACACAAGCCACTTTTCTGGAGAGCCCGCAGCGCAGAATGGTCATGTGACTTTCCCGCGTGCTGTGATTGGCAGCCCGGAGCTTGTCAGGCTGTCTGCCAGCGGCTGTTGCCCCATTAAGAATTTCTGTCTTTGTGCTCTTGCATGAGGGGGTTGTCACGGACTTGCTCTTTCGGGTATCAAGCAAAAACGCGCCGTATTACGGTGTAAGTTAACTCGCGTTTGGATACTTTCCGGTAACCAGGTAATAACGAACGAGCTGTGTGACGACGTGCACCATTTCGATATCGCGATCTGGATACGATTGAAACAAGCGACAGCGCTGGAGAACGGGGGTTATTGGTACTACGCCGCAATCGAGAGGTCAAACGAGTCAAATATCGCGAAAATGGACGCGATGAGAGGGGGCTGCTCCCCCTGGCCGCTGTTTTCGTGAGGAGCTACCTGAGTTGCATCCTGACCTGAGCACTGATAATGATCTGTGTGTCTTTCCTAGCAAGCACTGACCAGCGATCGTCGAATGTCAGGCATGGCTCCAGGAGTGCAGCCATGCATTCCTTGCCTCGAGTGGAAGGGGATCAATCTCCTAGCCGCACCGCCAACCGATCTTGCTCTTTAGCCTGCGGCAACCTCCGAAACTTTACCTGAGAGGTCAAGGATATGCATGCAATCGTGACAAATGGGCATGTCTGCTCTCTCTTTCGCTCCAAGGCGCTTGATACGTGGCCGTTGATTGCAAACGGCCAAGGCGAGAAAGCTGCATTGCAGGCCAGGGAATCATGACCATGCAGCCGAAAATTGAAGATGGCACACTCCCACAGAGCCACACAATCCCTGCCCTTCACCTCTGCCAAGCGTGCTGCCCAATGTCAACGCGCCTGTCGTCCAATCCCCACCACTATCCTGGCCCCAGCAAGCGCTCTGCCTCTTCCAGAACCCGATCCTGGACATCTTGACCTATTGTGTCGAGATGCAATCCGTATCCGAGCTTGATGCAGATCAAGGATTCGCCAATATTCGTCACGAGCTTTGGTGGATTTCTCTCGCGTTTTTGCCTACCTGCTGGTTCTGGACCCTGAGAAAGTGGATCAACAAGTCTGTGATTTGCATTTTCCTTCTGAGGATCCTTCGCGGCTTTCAAGAGATCAGTCCCCCGGCTGCTTCTTCCGCCCAGTTCAAGTCGCCAGGCGCCCGCCTCGCTTCGAGCTACGGAAGTGTCATGGGGAGTCCCGGAGCGTCCAAGCTTGGTGAACCCGGACACATCTTGTCAGAATATTTTTCCATGATCTTGTTGGCCGCTTTCTCCCCCCTCACCGCGCCGCAAAACGCCAGGGTGGCTCTTTTGTGTCTGCTATTCCTTGTCAATAGAACAGGAATATTCCTTTTTTGCACCTGCGGGCTGATCTGCTGTATCCTGTCCAAATATGAAAGGGTCCAGGGTTGATTGAACCTGCAACGGCGCTCCTCACCTGCCTGTGTTAGATGCTCTCCCGCTCATCTAAATTACTGGATCATAACCATCCATCGCAAGCACACCTTTTCACGGTACTACTGCATGACGGCCTGACCGTCTTCCTACCCTGGAGATATGGTTACTCAATATATGGTCTTTGCGCCATATCACCTTAGACAATAGTCATTGTCTCTCGCCCATTTTCTGAAGTTTCGGCAACTGTACCTAATCCCTCACTAGCGGTTCTTCTTTCTGCCCCGGCAGCATCTCACAGCCTGTTCCCTGTGAAACTCACACGCGCTTGCGGGCCTTAGCCTCCTCTCTGATGTCTTGTTCAAGGCAACAGACGAGCCTCAAACCTAAGGAGTGCTCCACCGCTATAGGACGGCGCAGTCTTGACAACTGAGTCTACTTGCCGTGCGACCTGGTTCTGCTTTTTAGGGGGTATCTGTATACTTTCGCCCCCAAAGATCCGAGCGCACCTCTCGTGATGACATATCTCTTACATCCAGCGTGTAGCCATGCATGCTGTTCAACCCTGCATATACCTCCACGTCGTACAAAACGAAGACACCAGAAATAGCTGAACCGCGGACCATCGCTATTGGATCGACCGAGCGCAATCGGTGAAGTGGGCGGGCGGACAAGCTTTCTTACTGGTTTTGCTCCTCTCCGCCCCTACCCCGTGGAATTAATGTGCAACTTCTCATGCATTTGAAAGATAAAAAGTCATCTCGCGCCTTGGTTTGAGAGTGTTTTGCCGGGACTGCTGCTGCTTTGAATGAGGGGAGGGGGATGTTGTAAACCTCCCTCCTCCGTCCCCGTTTTCTTTGGGGCGACGTTCAATAGCTCAAGTCGATAATAGAATTCGACCGGGTAAACTACTGCGGGAAAATGCAAGCATCATCGGTCTCTCAAGGAACCTCGTTACCGACACAACGTTTTTGAAAAATTTTTGCCCCCCCCCCCCCCCCCCCCCCCCCGCATCGAGCCGCCTCCGCCCTTGGCAGGTAATCAAATAATTGCAAGATCTAGAACCAGAGATACTTTTTTCCCCCCGGAACTGTTTTTAGGATCTGAGGGCGGTTGAATCAAGCCGCTCCGTGGGGAACAAAGCTGCAAAACATCAAAAGCAGGGAGGCTTTGGGGGCCAAGGGGCACAAGGGGGAGTAGGGATATGCTTGCTTGCCAAAAAAGGCGCCGTACTCTCCAGCCAAATGGAGAATGGGGGAATTGTTTAATACTTGACAAGGCTCTAGCGTATCTGTTGTGGCTAGGCGGGACGTTGTTTCCTGAGAGCCTCGGTTGGAATTTAATACCTGGGTTTAGAAGAATACTGTAGAGGAACCAAGGAGGTGCGTCTATTGACAGAACTGTCTGATAAGGTTGTTGGGGAAGTCACCGTTCATGTCCTGTTAGTTTTTACTTCTTGGGTTGGAAAAAGTTAGCTGGATGGTAGCTATGTTGATTGAATGAGAAGAAATGCAATAACCACTAGTTATTGGAAAAGGTGAGTTGGTTGGTTTGAAGATAAATCCCAAGAAGTACTGTTTGCCAATGGTTCTGGCTGGCTTTTGGTTGGGTCGGTAGGCGGTCAAACGAGGCTCAATAGCCATAATTGTGAGGAAAAATATTAACGGAGGGAAAAATGAGTTGATCAAGGAAAAAGGCGCCAGCTTTTCGGCCTTGGGTGACTTTGAAGATATGGGTATTCTAAGGCTTTTGATAGTGGATGAACGGGACTAGAAAATCCTCCCATAAAGGCCCTCCTTTCATGCGAAGTTTCTTGTAAGCAAAATCATATCATTCTGGGGGGTTTAAAGTACAAAAAGCAAAAAGAGGCAAGTTCTAATAATAAGGTTAAAAATAAAGGGCATGAACGAGAAAGGCAAGCATGCAAATTCCACGAAATCATCACCTTCCTTGACCCAGGCCTTTAGGATTCACCTCTGAGGGAACTAAAGGGTGTTATGTAGGATCGCTTAACCCCAATGAATTCCCTTTGCAACTTCGCATCTGTTTTCCTTCTCGGTTAGTTGAAGAAGCTACAAGTATGCCTGGCTCGACCGGAGGAACTTACGGGTCAGCGCCAAACTGCACATTTGATTGCTCCCATTCGTCCTGACGGATGAGAAAAGAGCGTAGGCGGACCGCATGCTCCATGGAGCAGAGGCGGAAGACGACAGTTCGAACTTTCTGCAAATCTTGTTAGATTTTTTTTTTCAAAAGACGCGTTGTCGAGTCAATATTGAATCAGTTAAAAGAGGTAATTTGAACTTACGCTGCCTGCATCAAACACGTCGATAATATTCTCCAACTTGAAACCCCGTCCCTCAACTAACTCCACCATATCTTTCATACTCAGAGCCATATCTGCACCGACAGCGCGCACCACACGCGTAGCCCCCAAGCCCAAAGAATCTTGGAGACGAGAGCTGATGATGTCCACGTCCTTGTACAGGTCGACAAAAACGGTGGCCTTGCGGCCGTTCAAGTTCACATCGATCCCGTTCGGATAGGAATCGTAATACTTCTTGCAAGCTGCCGGGTCACAAAAGAGAACATGGGCGGATTTCGACTGAGGGAAGTATTGCACAGATTCAATACGGCCACCGTGGATGAGAGATAGCACCTTGTTTGGCGAAGCGAGAAAATCCGGAATGGGTGACAAAACAATTCGGCGAACTTCAGCACCTAGGACCGCTCGTATTAGCATGGTTGCTCTCAATCGAATGACTTTCAAACATAAAGCCTTACGTTGTTTTGATCTTGGTGATGGTGTGCCCCAGCTACTAAAGAATTCGAGATGTTCGCGATCTTCGTTGGTCTCTTTAGCTGAACCCTTTGATGCTGGAGAAGGAGTGCCAGACGCAGTTTTACTCGCCGGAACATTGGCCTTTCCCGCGATTTCGGGTCGTTGGGACATTGTAGACTGGACCTTTGGAGGGGTGGTTGCGGATTGCATGGGTTGAACTACCGAAGACTTGTCAATATTCATATGGAAAGAGAGAGTGTGCTTTTGGGCATTGTTTACCTTTGTTAACAGAATCAGTCATGCATTTTGCATTTTCCTGAGTTTCTTTTGCTGTCGCCGGGGCACCAGACCCTTTGGAAACCTGATTGTTGCGTGCTTGGAGGGCAGCCATGAAAGCTGAGGTGTTGTCAATGCCCATAACTTTTGGTCCTAACACCCGCTTAGTAGGTTGTGTGCTCGCGTTTACATTGGGTGTTTTGTGCACAGCTTTGTTTTCGCCTTTAGGAGGTGCTTTAGTATCGGCGGGGATGGCCCATCGACTAGCTTCGAGGCCTACTCGAGCAGAAGTCTGGCCAAGTCCGTCAAACGCGTCGAATAAAACTTGGGCGACATGAGCAGCATTCTTTTTAGCGGCTATTGTATCAGTCGTATCGATGATCGGGGCAACAGATATAGCCGAAGCCATAGGCCGCTTGGTTTCAGGGCGAGGAGGGCTATTCATAGTAGAGGTGTTGGTGACAGAAGTATTGGCTGAGGAGGTCTTTTTCTTGTTTTTGCGAGATGGCCGGCGTTTCTTAGGTTGCTTGTTTTCAGTTTCTTTCTCTTCGCCCGAGGAATGAGAGGATTCGGTGGAGGAGACCGCCCAGCGGCTGGCTTCAAGGCCCTTGGCTCCAGAAGATTTCCCAATCTGGTCAAAAGCCTCGTACAGGGCGCGACCAACGTTAGCTGCTTCAGATTCCCTGTCTTTTTTCGCAGATGGGAAGACTCTATCCAGCTCTTCTTCTGAGATGGACGAGGAGGTCTTGTGGTTCGAAGGCTTGGGGCTTGTCGGCTTCTTTTTCGGTGAAGTGACGATTTTGTCAGCAATAGGGGCTTGTTGGGAGCCTGACGTAAAATTTCCCTTTTCGGCGTTGGGAACTCCCCCTTGAATCTTCCTGGCTGGGCTACTAGCTTTCTTCGACCCGGTAGCAGACTTGCCCCCTTTGTTTTGCGGTGGACTTGCGGCGAGCTGAGTATTGAGGCTGGTTTTGACAGCAGGAGAAGCCTGGCGACTAGCTTGAGCAGGCTTAGAGCCGGCTCTCTTGGGAGAGGAAGCCTTCTGTTGAGGAGATTTGGGCGATCCCTGGGTTTTCGGAGGAGATTCCACAGCTGTGGTCTTCTTGTTGGGCGGAGTCTTGGTTTGGGCCCCGTTCTGAGAAGGGGAGCTTGAACGAGAGGAATCTGGGGTTTTCTTGATTCGTGCCATCATGGAATAGACTGCAACGTCTGCCGAAGATGGGAGCGAAACAGCACTTGAGGATGGAAACAGGATGTGCGCGGTTGAACAGCAAAGATTGAACAAGATGTCTGAAGTTTGAAGCAGTGATGTGAATAGAGATATCAAGAGTTTGATGATAGAAAGATGTGAGAAGGAGAAGGGAGAGAGGGAGGGTTATATAGCCTGGTAAAAGCCGTTCCCAGCCTCCCAAAAAGCAGGGAACTCTCCGTGTGACTAGATGATTCATGAGAGTGAAAATTTCTTCAGCAGGCAGCAGGAAATTCACCTAAAAGGGGAGGGGATTGAGCAATTAACACTAAAAGGTGGCTGAGGTTGAGACAATGAAGTCAATTCTTTTGTTATAAAATGTTGTCACTGTGTTATTGTGAATAGGGGGAAGCACCGGATTACAGTTATCATGAAGGCATCACAATGTGGGAATGTAATGAATATGGTAAGATGCTTAGAGGCCAATGAAACAATATTGCCTATTTTGGATATTTCAAGGAATAGAAGAAATATACGCAATTGAAAGGAAGAAATGGCAATGTATCAAGATATACATGTCCTTGATTGCCAACATTGCTTCTGCTAGCTGCGCCAGGTTATAAATGTTCTGAAGACATTGCAGTGAAAGATGCCAAGGAAATCTAGTGGTATCATCACAAATGGAAAAGGATATATATACTCCACAGCAATCGTGATTAACTTGAAACAAAAAGCATGAGCTGCATCATGGGAAAGTAACGCGAAGAAGCATCTACTCAGCGGGAACTGGGAGCATTTCCCAGTTTTTCTGGCCTTTCTTTGGATTCGGTATCATCACCTGCAAAGCACGGCGTCCACAGAAACCGCCGGTGCCGGCAGTTCGAGTAATTGTCTTATAAGACTCGGATTTCGGATCCCAAACCTTCTGTTGAACTTGCTCGCCCACGCGCTCTTCTCGCCGTGGATTGTACCAGGGCATGCCAACAAGGTGGTTTAGGAGGTTATGAGGCAATGAGTAAAGCCTTTCAAATCTCCTGGTAAAGCCAAGCCAGGATAGGGTAGAAGTGTCGTATGACACTCGAACGTACGGATTCATGTAGATCCCAGTGTCAACAGGCTCCTCGGATTTGTGTGGTGGAATCTGAATATCGGCATGGATCAGACAGCATTCAGATGCATCCCAGAATGGGTCTGGTTCTGCTCGAAAGCGAGCCACATGGAAGGCTCGTGGTTCAATCGGCTGTCCACGTCGCTTGTCGCCATGAGATGTCTCTGTTGACGCTGTTTCCTGGAAAAGAGACGCATCAAACGCAACCATGCCACCCCAGCAGCTTCTGACCCGGACGGCATCGCGTTGCTGCAAGATATCACGTCGGCTTTCCCCTTTCCCAGCAGATGAAAACCAAGGGTAGAACGGAATGCCGGTTGAGTATCCTTCAAGATCGCGGGCCGCAAAAGTGTCGTAGAATTTGAAAGCGTTGATAAAGTCCAAGGCACATGCTGCCCGATATTGAGGCTTTCCGTCCCTGTCTACGTTGGTCGCGAAAAGGAGTTGGACGGCATCTATCGGGTCAAAGTAGACATCATTCAGGTACAGTAACTTATCGAATCTTTCTCCGTGTGGGTCATCGAGGGGCCTGAGCGCGCGGTTCCGCACCTCAGCCAAGAATGCAATCCGTTTGACACGCTCTGAGCCGTCTGGGAGCGTCGCATGCTGTATACCCTTGAGGTCGAGATGTGGTTCATAAACCATAGATCGATTACACGGAACCCTCTTATCTAGATCTTGGAGTGCGGCTGACGATGCTTCTCCCGAGTCGTTTTCATAAATGCTCAGGTATGTGTTATCCGGGCCCAGAAGCTCAATCAGTTTGAGAACATTTTCCCCCCACTGTCCACGCGCCAGACTGCCATCCCGGTCATATATGCTTGCTGCGATCAAGACTTTTTCATTTTGCGGATTGCCTCTGCCGGGTTCCTTTGAGCTGAGGATGGCATCCCGAAGCGCATTGTAATGGGGAGGTCTTCGCGTGTAGGACGGACTAACGATAGCGGTGATGATGACGAGGACTGCTAGTATTCCGGTGAGAATATGTACCGCGAAGAAGCAGCGGCGACACGCGCTGGGACGGCATGAGCGCGGCTGCCGTGTGCCTTTCCAGGCCGCTCGACGACTGCTGCGCAACAGACGTCTCTGCGCATGACGACCAACGAAGGGAAGATGCGCCAAGAGCCGATAGAAGAGAGAGACCCTCTGTTTCGGGTAGCTAGGGCTAGTCAAGGCATGAGCCTCAAAGTCGGCTTCATCAAGGTCAAAGCTGTCCTGGGAATCAAGAGAGGACCGGGACACTAGCTCATACTCATCCGGGTGGAGGAGTCTCGGAGGCATCACGGGGAGAAAATATCTGCCAAGCCTACGGCGAAGACAACGCGGGTGGTGACATGAGGGCTGCGTGATGATGATCGTGACACTGCGCGATGCTTGAAGGGTTGCTACTCAGCTCTAAGGTTGAGTCTTGGGGCACGAAGCGGATGACCCATGCAGCTGCCTCAGCCGCACGAATGCTCGGGCCGAGACAAACAGAGCAAACAGCTTTCTCCAAGACGATGATCTAATCACCGACCTAAAACACCAAGAACAGCGGCACGACAAGCAACGGAGTCCGCGGGACGACGATGTGCACGGAGTAAGAGAGCGACCTCCATGACTTCCCGCCAGGCTCCAGCGGCCAGGCCCTCTCGGGTGTCTTGGAGCCCGGAGCTCGTTTGTCACTAAGCGTCATGAAGAGTCGCCCGGAGTCCTCGGGCTCCCGTGGCTGTGCGGCTCCATAAAAACGGCGGCTGCTGATTGGCCACCGGGTACGAATCCTTCCGTATTCGTCATTCCGCATTGGGCATCTTTACCGCTGCTTCTATGCACGTGACCTAGTTTTTGGGGGACATTCTGATTAATGACTAAGACTGGCAATCAAAGCAGCATGCACTAATCCCCCTTCGTCGGGTCTGCTGTGCTGCTTACCCAAACGCTAACATCGAACCCTGGGATGGCCGTGCAACTTCGCTCAGCTCAACGGCCCCAAGACGCCAGTGTCCAAGACCTAGAGGCAAGTCCCTGACATTCCAAGGATGTGGGCGCGGAGTAAAAATAAATCCTCAGGATGCTGCAAAATTTCTGCCTAATTCAGACTCCGTTCCTCCAGTGATCTCATGGGTGGCATCTCCTCTTCCTGTATATATGTTTCCTTCATCTACCCCTATCAAGTAGATGTATTTCTTTTTTTTCTGCTTTTCGCCTTCTGCCGCAACGGCTGTACTACTATAATAATTTAATTTGTAGTCTTCGTCCCTCTTTCTTTCCTTGGCTTCAGGTACTTGCTACAGCTCGACACTCCTTTTTGTGCTACCGCTCCGGCGATGGGTTTAGACGAGCCGGCACAGTCCCCGGAGGGGCGTGCATCAGCGGATGTAAAGAAAGCTGCCAACGACGAGAAGCAGGAGCAACATACAGAGACCACCGCCACGGTGGTTAATTCAGGAGATGACGCGGTAATAAACGTGGAAGAAAAGCCCGCCGAGGACAAGGTCAAGGAGGAAGACAAGGGCGGCTTCGGTGCCTACCTGGTAAATCATCAAGCTTTGCTAAGAAGAAACGTCGTGTCCGCTAAAGACTTCGGTTTAGAAACTCTGGAAATGGTGTGCTCCGATTGACGTTGTGCTCCGTGTCTGTGGGTTTACAGCTGCCATTGCATCTGGAACTGTACGTCACACCACCACATGTTGTCTGCCCTGGACCTTATGTTTATTCCCATTATAGGCACTTCCGTTAATGACCATTGTTTTTGGCACGTTCGTGGATGAGTTCAATGACTATGGGATGGGCCTGTCGTCCCCCGAGAAGCTGAGGAGTGCCATTTCGAAAAACGCGTTCGTTTCCCTTATCCCGATCCTGAAGATCCCTGGCTGACATGAACCGTAGATTGTACTTTGTATATCTTTTCATCGGCAAACTTTTCGTAAGTTTACCTCCCGCCTTCTCACTTCACGCCGTGTATCCTGACGATTGGGTTCTAGGCTGTCTACATACATACCACCTGTTTTACAATTACTGCCATCCGCGGCGTGCGTCGTCTACGATTAGAGTATATCAAAGCCATCTTGAGGCAGGACATGGCCTATTTTGACACATATACGCCAGGCTCCGTCGCTACTCGCATATCGAACAATGCAAATCTCATCCAAAATGGCTTATCGGAAAAAGTAGGAACCGCAGTGCAGGGGTTCGCTATGCTCATTACCGCATTTATAGTTGCATTTACCAGAAGCTGGAGACTTACCCTTCCAGTTGCCACTACCATCCCAACCGCCGTCATAATCGTGGGAATAACGGTTTTGTTGGACACCAAAGTGGAAGCAAAGATCCTAGATATCTATTCAAAAGCCGGAGGCCTTGTCGAAGAAACGCTAGGAAGTATCCGAGTCGTCGTTGCATTTGGTGCTGGGGGGAAGTTGCGTAAAAAATATAATGAACATTTGGAGACTGCGAAGAAAATCGGATTGAAAAAGGGGCCGATCCTCGGCGTTCAGTATAGCTCCGAGTTTTTCATCATGTATTGCGCATATTCGCTTGCGTTCTGGTATGGCGTCAAGCTTATCCAGAAAGGCCAGATTGGATCTGGTGGAGATATTCTCACGTACGTCAATTCCTCCCACAAAGGAGATGGCTTTCATATTCTAATGTTACCAACAGCGTGTTATTTTCGGTGGCACTAGGCACCTCCGCCCTCACAATGATTTCCCCTACCATGGGCGACTTTACCAAAGCCGGAGCAGCTGCCAACGACGTCTTAAACATGATTGCGAGAGCCCCCGATATCGATTCTATGGGTCAAGAAGGCTTGAAGCCCGAAGAAGTCAAAGGAGAGCTCGAACTGTCCGAAGTTTCGTTCTCTTACCCTGCGAGACCGACTATCCAGGTCTTGACCAACGTCTCCCTCAAATTTCCTGCAAAAAAAGTCACGGCACTTGTTGGATCTAGTGGAAGTGGCAAAAGTACGATTGTCGGGCTGCTGGAGCGTTGGTATGATCCCGCGGCGGGTACTCTCCGGCTGGATGGCCAAGATATAAAGGATTTGAATGTAAAATGGCTGAGGAGCCAGATTGGTCTCGTCCAACAGGTATGAGCTACTTTAATGGGAGATGATATATTCCCGGCACTGACACATCTTAGGAACCTATCCTTTTCAACGATACTATCTATAACAACATCGTACACGGCCTTCACGGGACTGAAATGGACAATTACGAAGAAGAAAAGAAGAGAGAGCTGGTTCGGGAAGCATGCATTGAAGCAAATGCAGACGAGTTCATTCAAACGTTCCCCAAAGGGTATGACACCGTTGTTGGTGAACGGGGAAGTCTTTTGAGCGGAGGCCAGAGACAAAGAGTCGCCATTGCTCGCAGTATCATCTCCAACCCACATATACTCCTCCTTGACGAAGCGACCTCTGCGTTGGATCCTCGAGCCGAAGCCGTCGTCCAAGCCGCTCTTGACAAAGTCTCGCGAACGCGTACTACGATCCTGATCGCCCATAAGCTGTCCACCGTCAAAAAGGCTGATAATATTGTCGTTATGAGTAAAGGCGAAGTCATCGAACAAGGCACACACGAGGAGCTCCTGGAAACTCAGGGTGCATACTGGAAATTAGTCAACGCGCAAAGTCTCTCCACGGTTGCCGATGAGAACACTTCCGACACCGAAAACGATTCTCAGGATAATCAACTTGCAGATTTAGAAAAGGCTGTTACTACAAAATCGGTTCGCAGCAATGTCGACATTGAAGCTCCGGCTGAAAATCCCGACGTGGCTCGCAAAATGTCTCTTTTCCAATGTCTGGTTAGAATCTTCTACGAACAGCGGCGCCATTGGGTCTATTTCACTTTGGGTGGAATCGCTTCGTTCTGCGGCGGCGGCGCCTTTCCCGCGCAGGCTGTCCTGTTCGCAAAGATTGTGACCATTTTCCAGCTCCCAGAGGCCGTGATTGGCGACCGTGTGAGCTTTTGGGCTCTTATGTTTTTTGTTCTCGCGCTTGGCGTCTTGCTTTCCTACGCATCCATCGGGTTTTTCTTGACAATTGCAGCCTTTCGGGTATCACGATTCTACCGCAGCGAATATTTTGGTGCCATGTTGTCGCAGGATATCGAATTCTTCGATAATCCCGAGAATTCCTCTGGGAGTTTGACTGCGCAACTCTCGACGCACCCGCAAGCGTTGCAGGACTTGATTTCTTCGAATATCGGGTTGATTCTTATTGTCATCGTGAATCTACTATCATGCACAATATTGGCTCTTGCCACGAATTGGAAATTAGCTCTTGTTGCTCTTTTCGGGTGCCTTCCGGCACTTTTTATGGCTGGTTTCACTCGAATGCGCTTGGAGATGAAAAGTCAAGACAGGAGTGCCAAACTATACCTCGAAAGTGCACGTTTTGCGTCCGAGGCTGTTGGAGCGATCCGTACCGTTTCGTCCTTGACGCTAGAAACAAAAGTCTATGACAGCTATGCGGAACGCCTAAGGGTGCCTGTTACCAGGTCATACAAGCATACCGTGATCAGTATGATATTCTTTGCCCTTTCTGAAAGTGTAGATTTGGCCGCCATGGCTTTGGCATTCTGGTATGGAGGGCGCCTGATTACGGAGGGCGAGTACGATGCCGAGACGTTCTTTATCGTGTTTGTGGCTGTTGTTTTTGGCGGACAGGCCGCAGGTTTCCTTTTTGGGTTCACTTCGAGTAAGTTATGCTTGTTGATCATCGTGGCCTTGGGTTTCACTAATCCACGCATTTAGACACGACAAAGGCACACTCCGCCGCGAACCATATTTTGCACTTGCGGGACCAGGTCGCTCCTATCAATGGCTCGAAAGGAGAGCCTCTGCCAAAGGATGAAACTGATGTTGCGATTGAATTCAAAGATGTATCTTTTCATTATCCAAGCAGACCAGATCATGCGGTGCTCCGAAAGATCAATTTCAAGATCTATCGTGGACAGAACGTTGGGCTTGTGGGAGCTTCAGGGTGCGGCAAAACCACGATCGTTGCGCTACTAGAACGTTTCTATGATATCAGCTCCGGTGAGATTCTCATCAATGGAAAATCCATATCGGCCGTCGACATCAATGCCTACCGAGAAAGTGCCAGTCTGGTGTCGCAAGAAACGACATTGTATCAAGGTTCAATCAAAGAAAACGTCACGCTTGGAATCCACTCCACTTCAGTCTCCGACGAGGAAATCATCCAAGCCTGCAAGGACGCGAATATCAACGATTTCATTCAATCACTGCCAGAGGGTTATAACACAGAATCCGGTTCGCGCGGACTCACGTTCAGTGGAGGTCAGCGACAGCGCCTTGCCGTTGCACGAGCGCTTCTCCGGAATCCCGAATTTTTGTTTTTGGACGAAGCGACCAGCGCACTCGACACTGAGAGCGAACGTGTTGTTCAGGCAGCCCTGGAAACAGCGAAGAAGGGAAGGACCACCATTGCTGTTGCGCATCGCCTAAGTACTGTGCAAGACTGCGATGCAATCTTTGTGCTGGACGCTGGTAGGATTGTGGAACGCGGAACCCATCAAGAGCTTCTGAGGAAGAAGGGTCGGTATTACGAGATGTGCCAGGCACAGAGTCTCGACAGAGAGGCATGAGATCGGTAGGGGAAAAAAAGGGCTTACTTTTCTTTATTTCTTTATATCGCTTCATGCTGGCTCGCGGGCGTTATATTTTATCAAACACTTCTTTCTCCCATTTGGCTACTGAAAGCCTTTTTAATTCTGATTTACATTCACCTCTTATTCTTGGTTATGTGGTGTATCAAACCGAAAGATACCTGTATAGAAATTGGAACCCGACCGGCTCAATCTTAGATTAATACTATTCTTTTTTAACTCTCAGGAAGCGCTGTTTTATATATCTATCAACATTTGGAGGATGCGCCTGCAGGAGTTGGAATCCGAGACATACAGCTATAACGGTTAATCGAAAACGGTAAACAAGGTGCGAGAATATCCAACTCCGTCCGAGACAAATATTATGAGGAATCAGTGGCCTTTTGCGCCTGTTAGGCCATCAAAGGGCGCGGGCAAATTTATTAGATAAGCTCCCCGCGCGTGGATTCGTGTTAGCAACACTTCATCAGGAACCCCATCCCGCAGAGGAGTTAATTCATCGACTGACCGATCTTAAAGCCGGCACCCGGGTACCAAATACCCTGAATTAGGAGATTTTCAAACCAGACATGTCCGACCTCAGATTCCAAACCGAGAACACCTCGCAACCCCCGCCCACCCGCGCCCAGCTCAAGGCCGGCTTCATCCTCAAAGCTCCTCCCGGCACTGACCTCTGGGCCAAACCTCCTTCGACAATCCGCTCAAACGCGCCAATCATCTACCACGCCATCCCACTCTCCCGTCTCCAGACGGCGCGCGTGCATGTCAGCGGCGCCTGGACCACGCTCTACGACCAGGGCGGTCTCGTCTTGATCCTCCCCAGTGCGCAAAAGTGGATCAAATCGGGGATCGAGTTTGTCGATGGGATGCCGTACGTGAGCACGGTGACCAAGGATAACTGGGCGGACTGGAGCCTGGCGCCGGTGCCGGATGGTGGGCGGGAGGTGGTAATTGAGATGGTGAGGGAGAAGGGGGCGTTGTGGGTTTATGTGGTTCGGGGGGGTGAAGGAGGGGAGACGAGAATGCCGGTGAGAGAGGTGACGTGGGCGTTTGCCGGGGAGCAGGATGTGGAAGGGTGGATTGGGGTGTACGGGTGTCGGCCGGCAAAGGAGGGCGGGGAGTTGGAGTTGATGTTTCGGGATTTTGAAGTTGGTCTGTCCATAGAGGCTTAGAGACGAGTATAGATTGATGCTGCTATTATCATCTTCGTGTGTTTGTCATGTTTTATCAGATTGTGATCATCCGATATCAGATCCGAACCCAGCCGAGAATGCGCTTGAAAGTTTGGGCCGGTCACGGGGAGGCCGGTACACCTTGCCGCATACGGAATAGCAGCTTCTGTGATCCAATCAGCGCCGCCTGTCAGACACACGCTATTCCGCTTTGGCCTAATCTTATCATATCTGATCATCTGCCAAGCACCCGTGACTCCACGCCTGGCCGCCCCTCCTTCGCGCTGTCGTTCGTCCCCAGCGGCACTTTTGGGCTGTCGGTTCGCTTCTCCTCTTGCGTAGGCTGCAAGGGGAATGTCTTATCATCTCTGATACTATAAACTGGAACTCGTTGTTGTTCTTTGATGTTTCTCTTCTTTTGCTTCAGCCGCGACAAGAATTCCACCCGAGCCTAAGAACAAGCCAACCCCTGCACCCGACGCTTCGGAGCGAATCGTTCCTTCGACGGACACGATTGATCACGAATTTTCCTATATTTTCTTTTTTACCAAGAGGCAATAGTGGAATTTACTCTTTTTCTTTGGGCATTTTCTGGAGTACGTGTCACGAACGATTTGCAACTAAACGGGGATTTTTCTTTGGGTGACGATTCCTGTACATCCGCGGGCCAAATATACCAGTCAATCAACTCCTGTTCGACAAGTCTGGGTGACCAATCCGCTTTCAATCTTCCCAGTGCGATCTCGTACCCCCTTCGCGGCGCTGAGTCTTTCCGGGTTCGAAAATAAAACCCCCAGCCTTCTCCGCGCTGCACAGATTTGTATCGAAGGTATCGGTTCGACATTGATGGATTTACCACGCATTAAGGGGACGATAACGTGATATCCAACGGCTGATTATCACGTCAACTAAGGGCCTTCGTGGATTGGAAGCCATGGGACCTGCACGGCGGTCTCCCAGCCCACCGACGTACGGGGCTTTCGAGTCCGATGACCGAATAGAAAACAACGAGACTGAAGGTCTTCTTTTCGTTGAACCCAGGGAGCTAGGAGAAGATGATCCGATTCTTGGAGAGCCGATCAGTTCTTCAACCTCGTCGAGTACAGAGGTGCAGGAAGGCGTTCGCAAGATCGAGGCGATCAGTAGGACATGGACACAAAAGTCGTTGATCATTGCGTATCTTGGGTAAGCCATTATTGCGGAATTTGTTAATGATTAATGGCTGTCAACGAAGCTAATAGGCCGTAGAATCTTTTTGATGTCGACGTGCACTTCCCTCGAGGGCCAGACTGTGATGTCGTTATCTCCATATGCGACGAGCTCCTTTAGTAAACATTCTTTGATATCTACAGTCCTGGTTGTTCAAAATGTGACTAATGGTGAGCCGAATGAACCGTGGTCTCCTTTTTCTACTGAGGGCCTTCTCTCTGACACATCTTTTCAGCCGTTATCAAGCCTCCTATGGCAAAGATTGCGGACGTATTTGGTCGCTTCGAAGCGTTTTGTATCAGTGTCCTTATCTACATCTTGGGCTATGTTCAAATGGCAGCATCGAAAAACGTACAAACCTACGCCTCAGCGCAGATATTTTACTCTGCTGGTTCAACGGGGTTACAAATACTGCAGCAAGTGTTCATCGCCGATAGCAGCGACCTACTCAACCGAGCGCTTTTTGCTAGCCTCCCAGACCTACCTTTCCTCGTCACTGTTTGGGTTGGTCCGATGATTGCCTCGTTCATACTTCGAGACTTGACCTGGCGTTGGGGCTATGGAATGTGGGCTGTCCTTTTACCTGCAGCCTTCCTGCCCCTCGCGTTGTCATTGTGGCTTAATCAAAGGAAAGCACAGAGACTCCAGCTGCTGAGGCCCAAGCCTTGGAAAGGCAAAGGATTCCGGAGCTTGCTCCGTAGTACTTGGTACGAGTTGGATTTGTTCGGTCTGATATTGTTATCTGCCGCGCTCATCCTAATCTTGGTGCCATTGACCTTGGCAGCGAATGCAAAAGATACATGGCATAATCCAAGTATCATCACAATGATTGTGGCTGGATGTATTTGCCTGGTCCTATGTCCTCTCTGGGAGACTTCGAAAAGGCTAGCCCCTTACCCACTCCTGTCCTTGAAACTTTTGAAGCAACGTACTGCTCTTGCTGGCTGCGCATTTGCATTTTTTTATTTCAGTAAGGATCCGGTTACCCGATCTTTCGCATATTTTCCCCGTGACTAACATCTCAACAGTGGCTTTTTATTTTTCCGTCCAACCATATCTCTATTCCTATCTCCAAGTCGTTCAAGGTCAATCCGTCGTCACCGCCGGACGTGTGACGCAGACATTTGCATTCACCTCTACTATCGCTGCAGTCGCAGTTTCATTCTTCATTAAATATAGCGGACGATATCGCCCATTTGTCACAGGCGGATGTTTCGTCTATATCGGCGGGCTAATTTTGATGCTTCTGACCCACAAAGAGGGCAGCACCGTTACCAAAACACTCATCATTCAAACAATCATTGGTCTTGGTGGTGGACTCGTGAATGTTCCCGTGCAGTTAGGTGTTCAAGCATCTGCCAGTCACCAAGAAGTCGCCGCTGCCACGGCCATGTTTCTGACAGCCCTTGAAATGGGTGGCGCGGTTGGCTCCGCTGTCTCCGGTGCCGTATGGACAAGTTCGGTTCCAAAGCGGTTACGGAATTATTTACCTCCAGAAAGCCAGAAGGACGCCGAAGAGATATTTGGAAAATTGACCAAGGCGCTTTCGTACCCACTGGGAACGCCAACCCGAATCGCTATCAACAGGGCCTACGAAGAAACGATGGGAACACTGTTAACAATCGCTGTTTGTGTCACGATTCCCTTGATACCATTGAGCTTGTTGATGAAGGATTACAGGCTTGATAAAGTACGTATTCTCGCAATCCAGCGCTGTGTTTAGACTACTAATCAAAATTCCGGTAGATGGCTCAAAAAGCAAAAGGCAAAGTCATCGGTCACAGCGATGTGGAAGATGATTTTATGACTAGAAGCGCTACAAACACTCGATCGAACCCAAGGCTATCGAGGCCGAGTTCGAGACAATAATTATAGCTTCTACCTATCTCCGAGATTCTGGCGTGGCTAAATGTCGAGAGATGAAAATCGACCTCGCCCTCAACCTTTGAGCATATCTTGAAACTTACCTCTCGTTTACGCTTGATATCATTTTGCATATATCCGGAGCACTTTTGTACTATTTCTTCCAGCCTTTTTTATATTTCCCTTTGTTTCTAACTGTGATGGCGAGATACCCTGCATAACATACGTTCCACTTTCGTTTATCATAACTCGACCTTTTTTAACACAGTTGGAATTCTCTTGCAACATAGACAAGAATGTGCTTAGAGTTTAGGTTGTCCGCATCACACTTCCCGTTTCTCGGGTGTATTCGTGGACCATTTTAACAGATTTCGATGGCACATATTTCTTTGGCTTCAGGTTATATACATGATGTAGAATGAATAGCTGTACTCTTGGTTGATTGGAGTGGAGATAGATCCTAACCTATCATTATCATTTTACTGAGTGCCCGGGAGTCCCAGACGGATGATCCTACCCGGTTAGTTACTTTACCGAAGATTAAACAGTGTCTTCTCAAACTTTCAAGAACCGAATGGGCTCTGCTAGCTTAAAGGGGAAATACCCCTTTCTCTCCTGGTTAGGAAGCAAAGCGCCGTTTTTGTCAAGAAAAGCTTGATCCAGCGCAGTCTCATATGTGCTATATATCCTGGCAGTTGTAAGCCGGAGTTCTGCCCACGCGACACTATTTCAAAAGTCAGAACCGAAGTCCACATCTTCTCCGCCTCTCTTCCAAATGAGGTTTGTTGATTGTCGTTTTTTTCTTTTTGGCTGCTGACTTACTTTTTACCAGAACACATTCTCGGTCCCGAGCCAAAAGGCCAAAACATGCGTTGCATCTCTCGATATTTGGGGGACATGATTGGGATATTCCAGCGTTCTGGGTTCCAATTTTCCGGGTCTGGAAATGCATTGGGGTCCCGATGGAGGCAATACGCCTGGGAATGAATTGTCATCTATGCATTTGAACCGCCTGTTAGATTCGGCGACATAGGTTTTTGAAAGTGATGCCCTTACCCCCGCGGGTATCTTGGTCCCTAGCACGGTCACTTCCTGGCCTTTCTTCACCACCCGGGGCAAACCGAAGGGAAGGGGTATATAAAGTCGAAGCACTTCGCGCAACACGCCGTCTAAATACGGAAGTTTTTGAACCACCGAAAGATCAGGGTATGTCCCCGGAGAGATCCCGGCGTCGTGCAGCTCCTGTCGAAGTTTATTCTGATAGGTTTTGTTTTGAGGGAGGGAAAGCTCCCAGACCAATGCACAAAGCAAATCGGCCGGGATAAATGAGCCTTTTTTCACGTTAATAGCGGGTCATGAATTCTTGAGTATTTGTCACTTACCAGCAGCAAAATTGTCGAAACAGTCGCTGGCGATGAAATTTTTATCTGGAAGGATATGTGAGGGCCCGTCCTTTTTCAAAATGGAAGTGAGCTGCTCAAGATGAGTGACAGGAGTCTCTTTATTCTCAGGGACTTTGGAAATAATAGCTGATTCAACCTGTTCCATCATAGACCGTCCGATCTTGTCGGGTGCGAGAGACTTCCTAAGGGGCGTAGTCAAACCTATCTCATTGTCAATGAAGCAATGGGTTTGGCTGGGAAAAAAGGAGGCTGACGTGGAAACCATCCCGCAAGGATTGCAAAAGGTCCGGTCATAGTGTCCATGGTGGTAGCGAACAGCTCATTAAATGTTTCCCTCGACTTCTCTTCTCTCAAAAGATTGGGATGGTTCTTCTCTCCGTAGACATGATGGATGACGATATCACCAGTTAACCATCTCAACCAGGAAGAGACATCGACCGTTCTGCAAGGAGATGCAGTGGCTTTTGCTTCTATGACTTGCATGAACTGCTCAATGTACTTCTTAAAGCCAGCTTGAAAGGCCGGAGCAGCGACCGCAGGCCCGGAATACAAACCGATAATCATCTTTCGGCGAGCAGCATGCAAATCCGCATCAAGGGTCGTTATAAGATTATCGGTCCCGTAGTTCCGAAGTGCTAGCAAGGCGTCTCCCGAATCCAGCCCCTTTGGCCCTGCATATATCTGTGGTAACGCATCGGCGTGGCAGAAGGAGATTTCCCGAGGACCCAATTGCACAGCTGGGCCGTATTTGCGGTGCATAAGCAGAATGTCATGTCTGTCCGTTCCTACGATGAAAATCATTTAGTCTCGTGAGGCACGGCGGGGATAGAACATAGGATGTTCACTACCATTCCACTGCTTCCACCGAATCCACCAGCGAGTGAATTTCGCAATCCTGGGCCCAGGAAACGGGGAAGTCAGGACACGGATAATCGCCTGAGACAAATCGATAAGCATCCATGTAATCAGACCACAGGCAAGCAATTTCCATTTGGAAAGAAGCAGAACTGTTGCTAAGAGACCCATCCTGGACGGGATAATGAGGTACTCGTGAATCTTGTGCTTCCTGCTGAGGACAGGTCGGGGGACATTGGCAGCGAAGTCATCTTGCTGATATATAGTCTGGCACACCGCAGCAGCGAGCCCTTCGCTTCAACCTCTGCCAGGAAGCGAGCCGCGCGGGCTCCGGACCCTAGTCTGGTAGCTTCACTAGGTGCTGCATGGATTAATATGCCTTGGTCCAGTAGAAAATTGAGGAAAAGCTGAGGACCAGAAACCCCAAAAATCAGTGTTGCGCGTCTCCATTTGCATCGCCCAAATCTCGCCGCTGCTCTTTCACAAACGGTCATTTTCTAGGAGAGTTGGGGAATGATCCCGTTCACCGTCGAATTATCTTGATAGAGAACGCCAAGCTCGGGGTGGCTGGCCCAAACCCGCAGACCACAATCCAACGCCCGAATCCTTGACAAAAGCTGCAGAGAAATGGCCGAATTTGGTTTAAATCCCGCTGTCTGAGTTCGTCATGGGCGCAGCGTGAGGTGCTGTGCTCTTGAAATGAGTTTCTAAGCGCTGAGAGCTCTGGCTTCAGTTTATCCGGATCAAGGCAATTTCCGGAGTATCCGCATAAAAGCGATGTCTGCTTCTCCTGCGGGATTAACTTACGTTGAGTTCCCAGCAATGATCTGAGGCAATCTCCTTGGGCAAGCAGGATTGATACGTCTATCAGTCACTACCCTCATTTCTTCGCTAGGTCAAGTTCTCTCTCTACTCAAACTCACTATGGATCTAGAGCGAGCACTCTACATAGGAAACGGGGAGGACGTACGACGTCTTCGATTCGGACCAGACCACGCCCCTTTAACTATTCCATCGAAGCGCCGGATATTACCTCGAGACCGCACATCATACCATCCCTCGCCGGACCAACAACCCCCAGCGCAGCGGCATTACCCTCCACCACTATGATTCTACAGACAGTGAAGCTCCACACTTTCAGTTTTCCTTTGGTAGACAACAAAGCGGCATTGCCGCCGCTACTGCCGTCGTCCACAACCTGACCTGCCAGGTTGACGTTCCTCTTCACGGTGGACTAGTGCGGCTGATAGTGAAAAGATCAGACCCTATTACATGTCGAATATTTGCCTCGCCGTTGGGAGGGATAAACGGGAAAAATGACAGTATCTCGAGCGCAAGGAAGTGCTAGTGGATCAATGTAGTCGAACAGCTCGATATGAGAGACAATCCTCGCTTTTGCACAAGTTGGTCGGGTTGGTATTGGTTCAAATTTTGAATTTGTTTAGCGGATATGGGTATGATCCTAGTTACTTGTGGCGCGTTGATAAAATATAAGCAGGTGCCTGATAAAGAGTGGGACGAAGCGGCGTGGAAGTGCAAGGCCTTTGGAGGCGTAGCATGAACCCTCTCATACTGGATAAGTTCTTCCCATTCTTCCCACCTTTGCGCCCAAATATGTTTGTCCTCATAGGGAAGATTGCCTTGCTGATTCTATTCAGTCTGAAAAGAATATTGCGGTGGGGGATCTCTTCGAAAGGGGAATCTGCTACCGCGTTGCCCTAAGCACTATGTTTGGTATCCGGGTAGCCGTGCCTGCGTATCAGTGCGTAAGGAGAATTTTTTCTATTATAGATGTTTTCACAGCCCGTCTTTATGGCGGGCGGATCTAGCTTTGTGCTTTCCTGATTATGCACGAGTTCCACTGTGGAAATGTTAGAATACCCCCATCTTTATGCAAAGAAGTAAGAACAAGCATCCAGGTTATGATTGTAAGGGTCCCTTCCATCACTAGTGATGTATTCGATGCTGAGCCGCTCTTTGGCCACTCAATGGTTGACAGGGAGAGCCGACACAATACCACGGTGTCACAAGCTGTAGTGACATTATTGAAGATACCCTGTATAGGGACTCGTGTACTCCGCGCTTGGAAGTCTCCGATGATATTTTTATCCAGCAGGCAGTGATCCGGCGGTGGTAGGTACACACACTGGGTCAATGAGTCCAGAGGCATTGACGCAAGACGCGTGCTATTTCCATCCCTGCAGATCAGATGCTGCTGCATGCAGGAGTGCTCTCTTCATTCCACGCGGATGTAGTGTTCAGTGAGCTTGATCTTGATCAGAACCTCGATGGCGAAAGTATCCCTCGTAGGCCAATCCGCCTGATAAATATTTTTCAACTGTTAAAGCAAAAATGATTCTCGTGGTAAAGCCGTATTTTTCAGTCCAGGGTGAATGCAAAGCATGGATCTCCTTGTTTGGAGAAACTCAAGAAGCGGCGAAATCCTATGTAGTACTTGGCCGTGTTATAGACCCAAACGCAGGATCGTTCCTCTGCCGGGAGACAACGCATTGCGGGTGCAGAGTGCGACGGGGCTGCTGTGTGCTGGTGCTGCTGAGGGTCTGGTTCACTAGCCGCAGAAACCACCTCGGGTCTTTTGGCCCGTGTTGAATTTTGTGTTCAAGGCCGGAAGAGCAGCGAGACTGTTGAATATTAGCTGGAAAAGAATAATAGTGAAGCTGCCTGCTGGCCGTCGTTTCAGCCTAGGATCCATTCGGGATAGCACTGAGGTTGACGATCAGTGTGATACTTCGCGATACCTGCTGCAAGGCGCTGGGCTGGCTCTCGGCCCTGGTAGCTCTGTGGTCACCGGCGGCCAAGTTGGTTCGAAAGCCGTTCCATCTTGAACGGCTACTCCAGACAGCGAAAGTCTACGGCAAGCTAGCCTCCTCTCTGTAAGCAGATCAGAACGGTTAGTTAGAGAGAACCGTAGGAGAACGAAAAGTAAAAAAGAGGGAGACGAAGCAGTTAGCCAGTGATTTAAATCTCGTACCGGTGCCGCGCAAAAGGCATCCGTCCAAGCAGCATCTCCCATCTCGTTGCCGCCCCGTCCGTCTCGCTGCAGTTGTTCGCCGTCCATCGATCGGTCTTTGGTGGCATTCCGGGGCCAGTTGAGGTGTCGATTCCCCCCCTTTTGGCATCGCTGCCCATTCGCTTCACGCCAAACTCCATCCTTTGAAACATCAATCCTTCATCCCGTCCATCTCTCCTCCAACCACCCACCGTGACCGTCGCCGCCTCCAGTCCGTTCTGTCCAATAGCTGCCTCTCTATCCGCAGGCAAGCCTCGCAAGGGTCGTCCCCAAGTCCTTGTGGGCGCGTTCTGCACCGCAGTCCGTCCCTGTCGCACCTCCATCCTCTGCATCGAGTGAGTCTCCAGAGCACCCAAACCAGTTCTTTTGTTGCTTTTGCTGCCTGTGTGTTATCGACCTTGTGTGGCTGGAAGCTTGAGAGGAAGCAACGGAGCTGCCTGGACTGTTTGTTGACTCTTGCAGCTCTGATATCCCAGAATCCTCACTCTCCTCTCTTTCGGCCTCATCGACTCAGTCTGGCCCAATCCACCCTCACTTCTTCGCTGCATCTCCCGCCGACAACTGAGGTTTCTTCTGTTGGAACTTGCCCTAGCAACCTCTTCACTATTTGTCCTCCTCTCCTCACTGTCTTCTCTTCCTCCATCCTTCACCTCTTCCCTCTTCTTCACCCTCGAAGGCTCCCAGTTCATCGTGATATTTTGTTTCACTCTTTGTGCCAAAACATCCTTCTAAACACTCAAAGTGCAGCTCTGCAACAGTTGCTTTAGCAAACCTCCAAAATGGTTGTTGCTACCATCAAGTAAGTGTCGTTCCCTTGTGTGCGTCGATGGATTCCATCCATGATTTGTGTCATGAGATGCATCTGTGTTCTAGTCAATCAGGCTAACCATGCTTCCGGAACATTATAGATGTGTTGTCGTCGGCGATGGAGCTGTTGGCAAGACCTGTCTCCTAATCTCATACACAACAAACAAGTTCCCATCCGAATACGTCCCGACCGTCTTCGATAACTATGCTGTTACTGTCATGTGAGTCGCCTGCCTTTACCTGTTCATCTTGAAGCTCTTACATCTGGAGCTATTTCACCGTTCTTCACATCACATCAAAGCTGCCCTAGCCGAATCAACTACTAACAATTTATTATTCTTACAGGATCGGAGATGAACCATATACTCTTGGCCTTTTCGATACTGCTGGTCAGGAGGACTACGATCGTCTTCGCCCACTTTCGTATCCGCAGACAGATGTCTTCCTCGTCTGTTTCTCCGTGACCTCTCCTGCCTCATTCGAAAACGTTCGCGAGAAATGGTTCCCGGAAGTCCGTCATCACTGCCCAGGTGTTCCTTGCTTGATTGTTGGGACCCAGACCGATTTGCGTGATGATCTTGCTGTTCGCGAAAAGCTGTCCAAGCAGAAGATGGCTCCTGTCCGCAAGGAAGACGGCGAACGCATGGCAAGAGAGCTTGGCGCTGTTAAATACGTCGAATGCTCTGCCCTCACTCAGTACAAGCTCAAGGATGTTTTCGACGAGGTGAGTCGATCACTACACCCGTATCAAACGCGTTTTTTTAACCCATTTTCTCGTCCTCTAGGCCATCGTTGCTGCTCTCGAGCCACCAAGTACTCGCAAGAAGTCTCGCGTTTGCAAAATACTGTAAAAGGTCTACCTACATTCTTTCCAACGGCGTCCCGGCAAAATCTAGTCGTCTTCCCAATTATCTGTCCAGATACTTCTAGATGAGCTTCTTCGCTGTTTATTGTGCCGTCAAGCATGCCCTCTTAATCTGGATTGAACTGGACAAACGTGTTTGTTATGTCTGCAGGCAAAAATGACAATTTGATGATGGCATTATGAGGGGTTTTAGGAAGGCGTGTGAAATGGCGAATCTTTCAATCGGGATGGAATTGTGTCTTGTTTTTACCCCCCCCCTTATCATAGTCAGATCTGTGCTCCTGTGTCCCATGTCTGTTTGTTTCTGATAGCGTTGTGATTGACAGACAGGCCGCAGGCTAATAAGGCAGATTGATGAATCCTATTCTATTTTAATCATTCTCCTTGCGTCCTTTGCCTATTTTCTCACTTTGTTGATGAGGGGGATACTATACCCGAGCTGAACACATAGGCGTAAATATGAACCTGATGACCCACGGCCCTGGACCTTGGTTGCCTCTCATTCTTGACCCATTTTAAATGCTCTAGTTTCAGATACTTTATCCTTCCCTCCTTCGTTATTTGGGGAAATGTACTTAGTTTTTGGTCGCGCGTTTCCTTTTCCCCAGATAGTCGTATTTCATAATCCCCTTCGGCCTGTTTCACGATGATATTTTTTTCATGCGCAAACGGCGAGCATGTATATACCCTCGGCTTATATTGATGGGGTTGAGTGCTGCTTTGAGCCAGTCCATCATATCCCTGGTTGAACTGGACTCCAGGAGGAAAATGAAGGCATAATTATATCACCCTGGAGTTTTATTATTTGTATTTGGCTCATTCTTCAATTTAGAGATCTTGCCTGCTTTCATACTTATTAGCTAACTAGTACCAAGCACTCAGTTTTTGAGATTATATCTGTCGTAAAATTCGAATACAACGAAGGAATTTCGCCAATTGCTGATCATGATTATGGACTAGTAGTTAAGTTTGAATAGGGCACTACCCTAAGGTTGCGAAAGGCATTTAAATCACAATTCATCACGAGCGTTGTGGCCCGTTTTGCCATACCACCCAGGAGCGTCCTTGAGCTCCAATTTTACCATGCTTGCCAGCAGCTCATAGACCATTTGAGCCGCAGCAAGTGCCGTTCCTTCGCCGTGGCCATCATAAGTGGGTGAAACCTCCACAATATCGGCGCCAACAAGATTCAGCTTCTCAATCCCACGGAGGATGCGGATTAATTCTCGCGTTGTCCAACCACCTGGTTCCGGTGTCCCGGTTCCCGGCGCAATGCTGGGGTCAAGAACGTCAATATCAAGGCTCAAATAAACAGGATCGTTGGGCGAAAGACCGACACGGGAGATGATAGTGTCAATCACCCCTTTCACGCCGATTTCGTCAATGTCATCTGCATGAATCCGCAAGAAGCTTTGCTCAGGCCCCGGATTGGTGTAGTCTCCATCATCTGCGCCGGTGAGACGAGTCCGGAGTCCTGCGTGAACGGAACTGGTATTCGAAATTAGTCCTTCAAGACAGGCCGTGTGGAAGAAGCTGCCGTGAGTGAAACTGGCTTGGTCAGAGGTCCACTCCGTCGAATACCGGAGCGTATTCCAAGTGTCGAGGTGAGCGTCAAAATGTACAACCGTAATTGGCTTGTTGTAAATCTTATACAGCGCTCGCAGCGCTGGAAGGGCAATGCTATGATCACCTCCCAGTGTTATGAGTTTGGGCTTGCCGTTTCTGGGCGTGGGTCGCGTTCCCAATTCCAGAAACGCTTCGTACATTTGTTTTTCGGCAATGGCGTTGTCGAAGGGTACGACGGGGATGTCACCGCAGTCCAGGATACGGGCCCAGCTGAGATAGGGATTGATTCCTGCGCGAGGATTGAATCCCAACCCAGGAACCTGACGAGCGCTGGCAGCACGGATGGCGCGAGGGCCGAATCGGGCGCCTGGTCTGTATGAGACGGCGGTGTCAAATGGGGCTCCGATTATCGCAATATCATAGAGCTCGTCTCGATCCACCAAACACTTCACATGTTTAAGATGGGCAAAGGTGGAAATGCCTGAGAACGCCCACTATAAATTGTTGTCAATGCATCAACGCCACGGGTAATAACACCTGAAAATAGATTAACGCAGGATATGTAATAACTCCAGACAGCAAGCTATGGAATTTGGCTTACTTCCTGCCCCCATTTCTTGAGCAGTCTGTTTGCATCCAAGTCTATTGGAGTTTGTTCGTCGTGTAGATGAGCTTGGTGACAGGCACCGGATTGCCAGTAAATCGACAATCCAAGAATGGCTTTGAGCCAGCCGCTGAAAAGCATGGTCTCCGTTTGCCTTGTCTAAGTAATAGTTATGATAGTCTGGAAAGAATTCGGCAGGCCGGACCACGGGCAATTGATAGCTGTCATGAGGAGAAAGTTGATTGCAACTTTGGGTTAGCTACCAAGTTAACTAGCTAGTTCGTTAACCGGTGATATTTTAATCCCGTCTTGAGAGGTAACCCGCCGGAAGAGACGGAATGCGCAAGAAGACGAGGATTCAACCTTCGTTCAGGCACAATCGTCACTCGTCGTCATCAGTTGTTCTCGAGCGAGTTGCACTGAGGCCAGCCTTGCATTGAGCTCGATAGTCGGACAATCGAAAACCTTCGACAGACCTTCAGCGACAACAAACACACTGAGTGGCTTGAAGCTGCATCCAGACATTGTGGTATTCTGAATTTGGAATATGTTCATGGACTAACATTGATGTAATGCGCCGCGTGGTAGTTACGGGACTAGGCGCCGTCACTCCACTGGGAACTGGTGAGCCAGCAATGCCCGACTATTTGTTTTTTAAGCTAATGGTTGTTGCAGGTATCCGTCACAGTTGGAAACGACTTTTAGATGGCCAATGCGGTATTGTGTCCGTCAAAGATCGACACCCTGGATTTGCGGAGTTACCATGTCAGATCGCTGGCGTTGTGCCGCAGGGTCTCAAGGAGCACGGCGGCTGGAGGGCCTCTGACTGGGTGACTCGTGATGTGAGTGTTCGCCTCCAATGGGCTTTCTTATGTCTGAGTGTGCGGACAGTCCGGCATGGATATTGATATGTCCTTTTTGTAGGAAGAGAGAAAAACGGCGTTATTTGCACAATATGCGCTAGCAGCAGCAGCAGAGGCTCTCAATGATGCAGGCTGGAGCCCTGTTACTCAAGAGGCAAAGGAGATGACGGTATTGCTCATCGATAATTCTTGTTTTACTTGTACGTTGCTAAAGGCCCTTTATAGGGCGTCTGTTTAGGATCTGGAATAGGAAATTTCGAAGAAAGCTATAATACATCGGTTGCTTATGATACTGGTCTGCAGCATAATAAGGTAGGCTCTCTTACGAATTGATACGATGAGATCTAGCTTCGATGCTGAAATCACATTACTTCTAGGCATACAAAAGAATCTCGCCGTTGTTTGTACCAAGGCTGCTGATTAATTTGGGTGCTGGGCATATTTCAATGAAATATGGATTTATGGTAAGATTTGCTACTTTCTAACCTGGAACACAAATTGTAATTCATATTTATAGGGCCCAAATCATGCAGCGACAACTGCATGCACAACTGGCGCCCATTCCATTGGAGACGCTTCGCGTTTTATCGCCCACGGAGACGCTGATGTGATGGTCGCCGGGGGAGGGGAGTCCTGCATCCATCCTCTTGCAATTGGGGGATTCGCGCGATGCCGTAGCTTAGCGACAGATTTCAACGGTCAACCGGACAAAGCTTCTCGTCCTTTTGATAGGGACCGCCAAGGCTTTGTCGTTGGTGAGGGTGCTGCTGTGGTTATTCTTGAGGTATCGCCAGCTTCCGCGTATGGAATCTGCTATGTTCTAACCCTCTGATAGGAATTGGAACACGCTAAATCCCGTGGAGCACGCATTTACGCTGAATTAAAGGGCTACGGGTGCTCTGCGGATGCATACCACATGACGGCGCCCAAAGAAAACGGTAGAGGAGCATTATTAGCGATGAAACGAGCATTGAAGAACGCAGAATTATCACCAAATCAGGTGGACTATATCAATGCGCATGGGACATCCACTGTAATTGGAGATGCTGCAGAAAACGCTGCTATCAAGACGCTACTTCTTGGTTCTGAGGGGAAGGAAAGCCCTTCGGATATCAACATTAGCAGCACAAAGGGCGCTATAGGGCACCTCTTGGGCGGAGCGGGCGCAATTGAAGCGGTATTTTCTGTATTAGCAATTCACCAGGTCCAAAGCTACAATACCCATTTTGCATTTGAAAGTGGATGCTAACTGTGTTGATAGCAAGTTCTACCCCCAACGATTAATCTTGAGAACACAACGGAAGAGTTCGATTGCAATTATGTGCCAAATGTAGCGCAGGATAAGGAAGTTGGCGTCGTATTGACGAACAGTTTCGGGTTTGGCGGGACGAATAGCAGTTTATGTTTCGCGAGATATGAATGATAGTAGACACCAAGGAACTTTTGGCCTAAGTGGTTTTTGTAGTTGAGAAACTTTTCCATCCAGGAATTTTGGAATATCAGAAACTCGGGTTTATACCGTAAGTTCCATCGTTGGCCTCTGCTGCGTCACGTGACGGAGACTTTTCGCTGTCGCCAAAAAATCATCATCGCACCAAACAGTCAACTCCAGAGTCGGATATTCCATTCTATTCAATTTCAGCCACCAGAAATGGCGTGCTCAAAACGGGTTGGTGTCCTTGGGGGCGGTCAGCTAGGACGAATGCTGATGGAGTCTGCAAACCGACTCAACATTCAAATGAACATTCTCGATGCAGACCGAGCTCCCGCAAAGCAAATCAGTGCCCATGGTGATCATGTTATCGGGTCATTTATGGACCGCGAATCTGTGCGCGAACTTGCAGAAGTCAGTGATGTATTGACAGCAGAAATTGAACATGTCGATACTCGTGCGCTGGAAGTGGTTTCATCGCTGGTTGAGGTAGAGCCAAGTTTTCAGAGTATTCGCACCATTCAAGATAAATTCAGACAAAAAGAGCATCTGGCGAAATTTGGAATTCCACAGGCGGAATATCGTGAGTTAAAAGCTGGTACGGCAGAGGAGTTGGGTGCGATTGGCGAGGAGCTTGGGTTTCCTTTGATGTTAAAGGCGAGGAGGGGCGCGTATGATGGTCGAGGTGAGATCTATGGAGGCGTTGACATTGAATTTATGTTATTGATGTCTTGGGAATGCCGGCTGAACATGCATGGTAGGCAATTATGCTGTAAAGACCAAAGAGGACATACCGAAAGCACTGGACGCACTCGAAGGCCGTCCGCTTTATGCGGAGAAATGGGCCAATTTCGTTATGGTATGTTATTCTTATCCTATATATGCTGCGCCGACTTTTGTAACTCGAAATTAGGAACTGGCAGTTATGGTTGTGAAAACTAAGGACGCAGTCTTATCTTATCCTACAGTCGAAACAGTTCAGGAGGACTCAATATGCAAGTTGGTCTATGCTCCAGCAAGAAATGTCTCCAGTGAAATCAACCAAAAGGCACAAAAACTTGCAAGAGATGCAGTCGCCGCTTTTGAAGGCAAAGGCGTCTTTGGAGTAGAAATGTTTCTCTTGGAAGATAATTCTATTTTGCTGTGCGAACTTGCCAGCCGCATTCACAATTCAGGGCATTATACCATTGAGGCTTGCCCATTATCACAGTTTGATACCCATTTACGCGCTATTTTAGATCTTCCGATCCCTCAGAAGAGTCTTGAACTACGTCAGCCAGCAATCATGTTGAATATCCTGGGCGGGTCGACCCCGGATGCTCACCTCAAGGACGCTGAATTTGCTCTCTCTATTCCGAACGCAAGCGTTCATTTATATGGAAAGGGTGCTGGCAGGCTAGGACGAAAAATGGGGCACGTTACGGTCACGGCTCCTACCATGCGCGAGGCGGAGGAATTAATCCAGCCTCTTATTTCTCGTACATGTGGGCCGAGGGCTGGGACCTCATCCAAACCGCAACCAACGGTCGGCGTAGTCATGGGTTCAGATAGCGATTTAAAGACGCTCGTACCTGGGCTCAAACTTCTCGAAGAATACTTTGGCATCAAACCTGAGGTAGATATTACCTCGGCGCATCGCACACCCGACTACATGGCCGAGTACGCTTCTACGGCAGCTTCACGAGGGATCAAGGTCATCATCGCTGCTGCAGGTGGAGCTGCACATCTCCCTGGAATGGCGGCGGCCCATACCTCACTACCACTCATTGGAGTGCCGGTGAAAGGAAGTGCTCTCGACGGAGTTGACAGTCTGTATAGCATCGTGCAGATGCCTCGAGGTTCGTAAAGCCCAATATCTGCGGCCCATGGATTTTTTGCTCATATATCTTTACATTTCAGGCGTCCCGGTAGCGACAGTGGGCATCAATAACAGCATCAATGCAGCTTTACTAGCAGTTCGGATTCTTGGTTCTTACGACGAGGGCTTACGGAAGAAAGTAGAAGCATACGCCAATGCGGCGAAGGACGAAAACCTTGACATAAAGGGAGTCAAAATGAGGGAAATAGGATGGGAAAGATATTTTGAGCAAATGCAATCAAAACAATAGCAGATTGTAGCCAAATAGAAAGTCACAGCGACTCGATTACGGCGTGCCTGATAGTTTGATAGAGTAACTATGGAGTACGGCCTGGACCACCAACGCACAAGGGCCTGCTTAGTCACCTGTCCGAGACCGTCATCGAAATCCTAATCGATGCTGTGAACCGAAGAGAGGAGTTCAACCTTCAGGCGTCTTGCATCATAGACCCTTTTGCTTTCAATTATATTTTCGCAATGGCGTCGAACGGAGGTCCAGTGAGAGGTGAGTTCCAGTTCTGCGCGATAGTTATGCTTGATCCCTCAGTTCTCCGTCTCCCATGTGAGTTCGCCGAGGGAGCAAAGGCTAACATCAGACCCCACTGTCTCTCCCTTCGCGCTCAATAGCTTCATCAGTGGCATCAAGCTCAGAAGCCAGCTTTGTTGATGCCTCAGGGTACAAATTCAGCGAGAAGGACCGGAAACCTACAAAGATCCGACTCAAGAAGGCCGCTGCTAAGGCGGCGAATGGTGCGTGATACTGCTTCTCATTATTTCCTTACTCGTTATGCTAGAACCGTGCCCTTTCTACCAAGCTCAAACTGACGGCTGGATGCGTCATTATAGGAACTAAGGAATCCGAACCAGGAAACGCTGACTCCGGACGTTCATCTCCGATCCTCCCCGTAATGGATCAGAAAACCATGGCATCGTTCCCCACCGGTAAACCGAGAGAAACGCAGCTAGAGACTGTTATATGCAAACACTGCAAGAGACCAGTTTTGAAACAAACAGCTGCTGAGCACATTCGGGGCTGTCTACGAGCAAAGCAAGAAAAGGCGCGTAAAAAGAAAGAAGCCAGGGACGCGAACCGGGCCAAGGAGAAGGCGGATAAGGAAGGGAACGATGACGATGGAGATGGAGCTATGAAGGGACAAAAGAGTGCGAAAAAACATGTTGGAGAGGATGGCCCCAAGAAAGGGAAAAAGAGGAAGGCTGACGATGACGATAAGGAACCGAAGAAGAAAAAGAAGAAAGACGAGCCTAAGCCAAAGGTCCCGAAATTGAAAGGGCCTGTCGACGTGGAGAAGCAATGTGGTGTCGTATTGCCGAACGGAGGCCAGTGTGCGAGATCGTTAACTTGCAAAAGTCATTCTATGGGCGCGAAGAGGGCCGTCCCGGGCCGGTCTTTGCCATACGATATGCTGTTGCAGGCATATCAGAAAAAGAACCAAGCACGACAGCAAAGTAAGATCCCGTTTGTTTGTTTTCAATGGAAGTTACCCATGATGTTGATACCCCCTATAGAAGCTGCTATCGATGCAAATGCTCCTGTGCACGACGAATTGGACGGGAATGGGCCTATTGACTCAGACGAAGAGAAAGACGCTGTGATGGCTGGGCTTGCAAGGTCACGACCTCAGCCTTTGGTGACACATCCTCTTATCCATACGCGGAAAAAATATCATCTCGTCCGTATGAAAGAGATGCTCTCTCAAGTATTGGGTAGTGGAAGTCTTTTCTCGCCCGTTGATAGCAATTTTCAAGGCAGAAGCCTTTTTCAACAACCCGAACCCGTATCCTTTGCTTCTCCTACGCTCGGTACTACCGGAGACCTTTCTGCGCAGCCGGTAGACTCGTCCAGGAAGCCGTCGCTTTCACAACAGTCACAGGGCCGGATAGGTTAGTTACGCAATTGCTGGTTACTCCTAGGCGTTGCTTTTTGTTTCAACTCTGCATTTATTAATCATGATGGGTTTGCTTCTTGCACTGGGAGTCTGGCATCTGGCGGATAAGGTGGGCGGAACGGGATATTCCTTTAATGATATGATGAGATACCCTTTACGTAGATAATTCAATTGATGATTCTGTATATTACATGTGCTCCTATTAAATCCAATATATTCGGTGGTTTCAGGCATTGTTGGTAGAGTTGAGCTGGAAAAAGGCTCTTGTGGCCTGAGGCACCAAAGCATGTTCCAGCACAACATTTATCGCTGCATCCTCAGTCTAGAACCGCTTCGTTCCACCGCAACGAATTCCGTATCAAAGTCGATAGCTCTGCTATTTCTCCATCTCTTGAGTCACATGCTCCTTTCGCCGAATTCCCGCAACCTGCCGCGTCGACCTCTTCTCCCTACGATCGTAGGGTTCCGCATCGCTCCTCAACCCCAGACCGTAGCAAACCCAGCGACAAAGCAAAAGGGAGCAAACGAGCGCCGCGAATTCCATTTCTCCGGAGTCCATCTGAGCGAATAAGGATTGGTGGAGCTACGTGCAGCCAGCCACCATGGCCAACACGGTCCCTGACCTTGACGCCATAGGTATAAAAGCCGAAGCTCACCTCGCAGACCAATTCCGCCGCGAAGTCGCACACCTCCTAGGCCGTTCCTCCCTTAATTTCCCCGGCGCACAACCGGTTAGCTTCTCTTCGCGACACCTCCTCGAGCTACAAAAGGCGGACTACTATGTTTGCGAAAAGACGGATGGTATACGTTGTCTCATGTACTTTGCGCGCGGAGAGCCGGATTCTGAGACGCCAGAGATACATTACCTGATTGATCGGAAGAATGAATATCGCTACGTTCCCGGGCTGCACTTCCCCATGCCGGATGACGAGACGTTTCAAAGCTTTCATGTGGATACGATCGTGGATGGGGAGCTGGTGAATGATATATATGAGGATGGGACGGAGCAGATGAAATTTTACGTTTTTGACTGTCTAGTACTAGACGGGACGAGTTTGATGCACCGGACGTTGGATAAACGGCTGGCGTATTTTAAAGAGAAGGTTTTGAAGCCATACAATGCGATGTATAAGAAGTTTCCGGAGGAGAAGCAACACCGGGCGTTCGCGGTGGAGGATAAGTCAACGCAATTTAGTTATGGAATCGAGATGATGTTTCGGGATATTCTACCAAAGGTCAAGAAGATCCACGGAAACGACGGGCTAATATTCACATGTCGAAGCACACCGTACAAGATTGGCACGGACGAACATATTTTGAAATGGAAGCCGCCCGAAGAAAACAGCATCGATTTCCGCATGCGCTTGGAGTTCCCAGTAGTAGATCTGGACTCTGATGATGAGGCAGATGGGGTCGCGGAGCCATACCCAGACTACGACGCCATGCCAACCTGCCATCTTTTTGTTCTCTACCGGCAGAACGACTACCGGCATTTTGGCCTCATGCACCTCGAAGAATCCGAGTGGGAAGACCTCAAAGCCCTACACAAACCCCTCGATGATACGATCGTCGAGTGCTACCGCGACGAACACGGGCGCTGGCGCTTGATGCGATTCCGTGATGACAAAACGGACGCCAACCATATTTCAACAGTCGAAAAGGTCCTGGAGAGTATCGAGGATCGGGTGACGGAGGAGGACTTGATTCGCGCTGCGCCAGTGATCAAGACTGCGTGGAAGAGGCGGCAGGCGGAAGAAGAAGCGGCCAGGAGGAGGCCAAATGGAACTGCTCACCCTGCTATCAATGGGGTGAAGAGGAAACATGAAGACTGAGCCCTTTTCGGCTCAGAGCACATTGACGCTTTGTCCCATTCTACCCTTTTAACGTCATTTCCGCCATGTCCACATTTTTCCTTGTACACTACTGACCTGTCTCTCCGGATATTCCGGTTTGTTTTGCTCATTCACGTTTTACGATATCTTCAGCTTTAGCTCTGCATCTGGTCCAACGTGGTTATCCGGGGCGCCGATAGTCTTGCTGGATATTGTTTCTGGCTGTGGCATCTTGTAATCCACAGCTCGGAAGGCGAACTCTTGGAATTATTTCGTTGGAATTATTATTTCTGATTTAGTCTCTATTAGAAAGAGAGCCCTATCAAATTTCCAAATATGTTGTCATAGCTCATGAGCCATGGGTTATTTGCAGCTCATTCATACCAAAAGCCTATACATCTAGAGCGGAGATTAGAAGGAAGCCCAGCCTAGTACTCCCAGTCATCATCCGCCGCCTTCTTCCCCTTATCATCCTTCGTGACACTCTCCTGCTTTCTATACATCTCCGCCACCATCCTGGTTGTGCTCGCTTGATCCGGTTTCTTATCGTCCCTCGATTTGATATACCTAGGAAATCGTAGTGAAACACCCTTTCCGTCCGCTCCAGTGCCTGTCATCCCCATTACCTCGTCGCTCGCGCACCTATATCGAGGGCTGATGGTCAAATCTGCCGCCTTGACCTCCCAAACCAGGCGAGGCTCAAACCAGACGTCTGGCTGGTCCTTGGGAACAGAGGAATGAGAGTAGAACGGCTTTGGTTGAGAAATGGAGAGTGGGCTAAGGGTCTTATGGAGTTCTTCGAGTAAGGATTCAGAGAAACCTGTGCCGATATTGCAAATTGTTTCGTAGTTTTCAGTGTTAGGGTTGTAGGCCGCCAGAAGGAAAGCTCCGTACACTGATGTACGTTTGCCTTTGCCAAAATAGGCACCGATAACGACAAGATCAAGCGAGTCACCGATACCAGCGAGGTAGTCCTTTTTAACCTGGGTGAAAGTTAGTCGTCAATGCCTCTGGTTGATATTACGGTAATGTTTACCTTGAGCCAATTGCGGCTTCGTTTGCTAGGTTCATAGCCACTCTCATCGGTGTCAAGCATTTTGACCATCAAACCTTCACAAGAAGACTTGACACTCTCATCTAAGAGGTTCTGGATCTCTTCCACGTTGCTGGTATTTCCATATTGCGCAAACGCAAATTCTCCTTCAGTCGGGATAAATGTTTCGTGTAAAAGGCTACGACGCTCGCGAAGCGTCATTTTCACAGTGGGCTAACAGAGACATTGTCACAATTTACCTCAAAAACCAAAAGAGACACAACAGGCACTCACCTCTCCATTTAGAAACAGGATGTCGAACGCGAATACGCAGACTCTGACTTTGATATCTTCCGCCTTCACGTCCTTCCTTTTGCGCGTCATGAGCTGCTGGAACGGTAGAACCTTTTTATTCTCGAGATCCCATGCAACAGTTTCGCAATCAACAACAAAGCTTTTAGTGCCTGGTTTGACCCACGATTCCAACTTATCTAGAACGTCAGGGTACTTTTTGGATAGGTCCTCAGAGTTACGCGAGAAGATAGCGCAGAGGCCTTGGCCATCCTTTTGTAGCGTGCCAGCCGTGGCAGCGTAGTCTTTGATAGAGTCTCGGGATACATAATGGATTTGGGCTCGCTCGCCATCATATTTATATTCGCAAGTGAAATCCTTTCCCTCAAACCGGTCAAGAACTTCTGAAATGGATTTTGTGGGTTTTGCTAACATAGGTTTCAATGGAACACCCGGTTGTAATTTGCATTTGTCTTGGACATTGAATAGTCCATGTTCCAGCATGGCGGGGATGATGACTTCGTAGGATGGTAACTCGCTACAGAAACTGTGTTAGAAAGCAGAAGTATCCCCAGAGGGGCTTCACTCACCTGTACACTTGTTTAAGTATGGCTTCTCCCTTTGCTAATTGTTCGGTGCTGGGGGCCTTGCCATTTTTGACCTCGATCTCATGGGATACCATGGCGTGCGCCAGAGCCACAAGCACAGTTCTCTCTGCGAGGCCTAGTCGTAGCTTTCCCTCTAAAAAGCGAACAATATATTTGGCCTCGCTTGGACCACCTTTGTCCTTTGTGATATCGATCTTACCGGCCGTACCAGCGTCGGCGGACGACAAGAGCTTCTTGATACCACCAATTTTTTTATCCTGAGATCCATGACCCTGCACCTTTGCAATAGCTAAAAGGCTTTCGTGAACTCCTCGCACGGTCAATGGTTTTGGCTTGAACATGGTGGGCTGGTTCGATCGACTCTTAGCAGCCACAAGACCCAAGTCTCCAATCTCGTGCTGGTCAGTCTTGATAACAGCGAGACTACGCCCTGTGGATTCACCAATAGCCTTCATAATCAGCGATTCGCCAATCCCAAGCTCGATGCCAGCGTAATCAGCAGCCAGTTTGTTAATCATGAGTTGGATGGTGGGAAGTAGATCTCCAGGGGTCAGGCGTAGGACCTGACGGAGAAACAACGAGCAATGCGCCAAAATTGCTAGTCTTTTGGTAGTCATTTCAACAAGCGAGAATGTCGTGCAGAGCGCGGCGTAAGGAACAGGATCTCCCGCTTTCCAATCTGGGTATGGGTCCTTTCCGTTGCTTTTCAGTGTCACTTGAACTTTTTGTCTCTGCTTCGATGCAGCGTTCCTTTTCTTTTCCTCTTCCTTCGGTTTCACGTCCAATTCTTCCGAACTGCTTCCAGAAAGCAGGTCTTCTCCGTCAGACGCTGAAGATTCAGCCTCTGCTACTGCTGGCTCCGGTTGCTTGGAAGACTTGTTGGCAGCGATTCCAACTTTGTCAGTTGTCCTTGACGAGCCCCTTTTGCCTTTGTTTCCAGTCACAGGCTTCGGGGCGGGGCCGTTCGTTTTCGATTTCCTTGAACCCCTTCGTCGTTTGGTGACAGGTTCACTCTCATTTCCCTCACTCTCATCGGTAGCTGAGTCCTTCTGTCGTTTTAGCCTCCCTGCGCTTGGTGACATGCTCTCACTTTTTGCACTTTCAGATTTAATCTCATCATCCGAGTCCACTTTTGGTGCTCCAGGAGCAGAGGGCAGTGAACGAACAGCAGGGCTTTTCTTTGGCGTTACAGGACCATTCCCCGTTATATCCTCCATGTCGACATCTTTATCTTTATTTTCGGATGCCATCTCATTAACCGCATTTCCAGCTTGAGACGAAAAGGAGAGAACGGATTGCTTCTTTTGTTCAGGAGCAGGGACTGCATTGCCACCAAAGAACTTCCCTATATCGAGAATCAGATCACATGTTAGCATTGATTGGTTATAAAGTCCGATTGGTTTCACATCTGCGCAATAGCACATTGGACTTTGACGTTCCAATCCATAGCTTCAAAAACTGCAATCGACCAGCCACATACCCTAAAGTAGTTTGCTTTCTTCCACTCCTTTGTGCCATGATGGCTGCGATCAAGCTATATTTCCCACGCTGAACAGAAATGTATGACACGGATCGGAGAATTCGGATTGTCGTTGGCTGGCTGAATACTAAGCGTGTTATAGTTGGAGTGGGCTGTGCCAGGAGCAGACACGGCAGTCGCATTGGCAAGAAGACCAGTTCCTCAGTAGAAAGCGACAGAACCGAGCCTCGTGCACGAATTCAATGCTGCGCACGTTTAATGTGGTTGGCGAAGCTGGCGCAATGAGCACCAATTGAGCCGTCCGACTCCAACCAGGCTCAAAGATTGATTAAATATCCATATCAGTGCACTGTGGCTCGGCTATTTATATATTTTGAAACCTGCACTGGCGTGAGGCGGTGGTTAGGCAACGAGTCGGGCTGAAGGCAGCAGTGTCATTATTCCTCACTTCACGCTTTGCATCGCGTCTTGCTGGGAGTCGCGTTTCTGCGCTTAACTAGTGACGCCGCGTGGCTTAGCCCATTTTCGGATAATAGATGGTCCAATCCGAAGATCACCGCACCGTGGCGCAAACCTTCCGAAAGCTGGCGACGACGAGGCGCATCGGGGAAGATTGTAGCAACGATATGGAAGTGCGCTGTGCGTCCATTTTGATCCTACTAAAAATTTTACGTGGTGTTCCCCGTTCAGAAATTTATATTCAACCATCCTTTGTATGTAACTATAGTACAGAATTTTGAATTCTCCAGATTTTATCGCAACTCGGCGGGTCTTTATCCCCTTCCACAGACAAGACACTTGTGATATCCAGGTACCTTTCATGGTTCCTAGGAACATTATGCCCCATGGCGCTCATTCGAAACAAGCCATCGGCCTCTTTGCTTGTTTAACACGGCTGTCCAACACACACCGTTTGATCAATCCTTATGCCTTCCGGCCGGCGCCTCGTTTTTACGCCTACACAAGGAGCATGCGGATGCCGTTGTCAACTGCCAAAGCCAGGCCATCAGCAGATAACAAGCGCAGACATTCATTGCCAAGGGAGCGGCGCGCCACGACCAACACGTCTTCAGCCAAAATTCGGGAACTTCTCAGCCAACAAAGGCATGATAAATGGGGATTTCTGATCTATCGCTGTACATACGATGATGATACGGCCTGGGCGACGTTCCTGTCCCTTCTCGAGGAACGCGCCCATGACAACTTGAAGAGGGAGGGTGACCTTGACCTGAAAGAGAAGTTAGTGTGGACAGTTATCGAGGACAAGGAAAAATTAGATGGCGCCAGCGTTGACAAAGTTGGAGACATGTTTTTAAACTGGATAGAAAGCGAAGAGGCAAAAAATGAACAGCAAATTGGCCCAGATGAGCTCGGGAGACCCGTCGCGGCCATACTGGGAACCACTCCCAGATATCTATGTTGCGTGCATGTAGATGCAGAAAGTTTACACAGTGTGGTAAACGAAGCTCCGCGCTCGCCAGATCCAGACCTCTGGCATGTGGGCTATGTAAATATGATTTATGCGCCATCGAGAGTTAGAACAGAGGGTATTGGTGGCCACGAAGAACTGGAACACGACGACCACGAAGGATGGACGAAGCTCTCGGCCGATTTATCAATACCACACGCCTATGCGTGCTTGCAATCAATGGATGGCTGGTATAACATCTGGATAAGGCCACCGTTGGTCTCGGCACTTTCATCCCGCCAGTAAAGTTAACATGAAGTAATAGTGCTTTCAATCTGATCAAGGTGCCTACCAAGATGCAGAATAGGGAGCGATATTCATTTTACCGAGTACGGTACATACTTTACCATTTGAATGAAAAAGCGGGATAAAGGGGTGACCATGTACGGAGATGCCTCTGGATTATGGTGATATCTAGCTAAATACTTCACTAAACACCTCCATATTCATTCCTTTCTCCAGCCACAAGGTATTAAACATGTTCAAACTAAAATTAACCTGGAAGTCTGCCACTCCACATTGTCGCCAATGCAAATACGAAGCATTCTTGCATTTCAAGTATTCGAGTCGCACTAACCGCCAAATGGGAAGGTTTTGAGGTTACTTTGACGAGTAGAATCACCTTCGGAGAGCGTGATACGGCAGACCGTCTTCCATCTAGAGAATGGCAATGAGAAATCCGGCTAAGATGGCACACCCATGCAGCTGGAAGCCAGAACCACTGTTCGGAAAGGCTGCATCAGGCGCAGTAGTTTGTGGGGGGGCAATGGGCTTTATTGTCACGATTCTGGTGCTAGTCGAGGTTTCCGGTGGGTTAATAATGATAGTAGAAGGTTGATCGCTGGTTTCCGTGCTGAAAAGAGTCGAGTTTGACGAGCTCTCGACAGGAATCGTAATAGAAGGTCCTTTCGAGCCGACGCCGGTGGTTGAAGTAGACAGGCTGGCCTCTGAGCTTTCGGTAGTGGTTGTCACGATTACGGGAGACGTAACGACGGGCAATGTTTGACTGTCAACTGGAACAGTTGAGGTCGTGTTTGTAAGCGGGGCGCTTGGGGACTGTCCAGTTGCAAGAGGAGGCATCGGCTTCGAGTTGATGCGAACCGTGGATAAGATGCAACGAATGGTAGTTTGGATAAGAACATCATCACTCGGGAGACCATTCATTCCGCTAGTTTCACTACCATCTTTGGTGGAAGAGGTGTGAACAATAGCAGTGGTGATAACTGGAGAGAGAGACCCAGATGAATGGTAGGTAGGGAATGGGTATGGGTAGTTAGGATGGGTGACACTGGGAGAGGGGACCGGAATTCCGCCAGTGGAAGTGAAACTGGGAAACGGGTAATCCGGAGAAAGGGATGGTTCAATGGAAACCGGCTGTGGTGGTAATGGTGCACCTCATGGGAGGATTAGTTTTAAGTAGAGAAATAGAGGATATAGCCCGCTTACCAGCTTGTTCGCAGTATGTTCTGCCCACACTCCGCATAAGGTCGACTTCATTGGGCTTACACTGAGTAGTGGCACATTTTTCAAGTTCACCCTGATACCTAGCATTACGGCAGAGACACTTGGCATCAGTGCTGCCACAGCCAAATTCGCCTGCCTTCTGCAGCAAGGACCAGATGCAATTCCTCTAATGTGAGGAGGCTGTTAGAGCTTATCTTCATACAGATGTTTTGCTTGATGGATTAGCAACACTAGAAGACTTACAGGGCACGGCGGCAACTTGAGAATGGGCGTGATATCCTGTGCCAGAACAGTGGCAGCAAGGAAGGAGGTTAGGACCACTGCAGAAAGCCTCATTGTTGAACAAGACACTGAGAGCTGTCAAGAAGGATAGAGGATGGGAGCAAAATGACTGCAGTGATAAGTGAACTCTGAGGAGAACACTTGAACTTGAGATGGTGAGAAGAAAAAGAAGAGAGGAGGGGGGAAGACACGAGAAGGGTGATTTTATAGACCACCCACTGTGCGGCACGTGAGCAACAACATTGCCCTTTTGGGAATTCTCAAACATAATCACTGACTTCCCCCTCACTGCAAATGGAAAGAAGGTGAACAAGAATGCCAGGCTGTTCCTTCCTAGCAAGATGAGATTACGCATCACTTCACTAGTGGCATTGCCAGATCCAGTAGGTATCCAGAGTCCAAATGGAGAGGGAGCAGTCAGAGGTCTTCCCCTGACAAAGCATTTATATCCAGCGCTTGCATGCTGGAGCATATTCCTCTTTGCATACCCTGCACAGCTTAGATACTCACACACAAGGACTAAAGTGGTATTCAAGCGCAGATATATATAAAAACAGGTATGCTAGACTAAAAGGGGTCAGTGGTGTAGGTGCTGGCTCCCATATTTAGCTTGTATCAGACTAGACAGCGCAAGCCTACTCCCTACGGGTAGCAGGTACTAAGGAGTTGAAGCCAGTAGTTGCACCCTGGGAGATACTCGGGTGGAAGTAAATTGCATAGCGATGAAAATAATTTTTAATAGACAGAATGGAATCAAACTCCAGAAGATAAATAGAGATAGCATCCCATGTTTATGCAATCGCTGGCCGGACATGATCAACGAGCTGGAGTGCTATACAAGAAAAGAAATGGAAATCGAGGACAAAGATTGTTTGTCCATTAGAGAGCTCTGTATTAGCTGTCTTTTCTTTTTGTTTCCTGGAATAGAATCAGAGGCCATCATTGCACACCGTTCAGTGAAGTTCCGATGAAGTTCGAGGTTGACGTTGGGATGTGAGCCAGCCAATCAGCTGCATTCCACCGCTTATTAATACGGCCAGCAAATTACATAATCATCTCGCCTTCAGACTATCAAATCGAGGAGAGATATCTATTTGATTCCAGACAAAGTGGCCGGCTTGTGTGCAGTCGGAGAATAAAATGAACAAACAGTAAAACTGCACCTCTACGCAGATACCTATGCAGAAGCTCTCGGTTCCTTACAATTTCCTCCAGGATGGATAATCTGCGGCAGGAAGCCTTCCAAAAGGTGTTGTTGAACAAGGCACTTTTTCGAATTCGGGGAATTCTGCTAACTTTCGTTGAAGCTTCGCCCTCCATGTGTTGAGCTTAGCTCTGTGACATTAAGGTTCAGGGGCAATCTTGTACACTCTCGGGATGTCTTGAGGGCCTTGGAAGCCGTCCACCATGTTGTAACGGACGTTGCAAACAAAGGATGGCTGGACGAGAAGCTCGCTGAATACGCTTTTTTCCCGCTTTCCCAAATTTTCAACCAGACGCAGCAGCTCCCTGCTCAATGTGTAGAGGTTGCTGTTAGGTGCCTTCATTTACTCATAGAGAAAGGATGGCGCCAAAAACTATCAGCAGCCATGGGCAAGCAGTTGATGATCCTCATGACTATCTTGGCTGGAGGCCTTCCAGGTCAGAATCAAGGCCAAGTATCCCGGAATCTGCGATCTGAGGAACTAATTGCGGCCGCATTTGACTGTATCGCGGCTCTTTGCAATGTGCTACAGAGTCAAGGAGCCGTTTCCACGATTTTCAACGAAATCGGCACTGCTACGGTGGTCGACCAGGCTGTTTACGTCTTACTTGAGGGGGTACTAGATGGGCCTTCCGATATCGTTCAATTTTCTGCTGCAAAAGCTCTACTTTCGCTTCACTCGCGGATATCAGATCGAGTTGTGCTTGCTAGCTTGCTACCCAGAACAGTGTCAACATTAACGAAAACACTGCGTCCAACGACACAGATTCGCCGATCGTCTAAGCTTCTAAGCTGCTGCCTAGATATTTTGACCGGAGTTTTAAAAGATGTTTTAAATGATGAGATTATTTCATCCGCAAAACTTTCAGAGGCCAAAGCGGACCGTTCAGGCGCAGGCAATTTAGTTCTCGATGATTCTTGGCTCAAAGCTACTGTATCACAGGTCAAACTGGCACTAGCTAATATTATCCCTCTACGAACTCACGAAAAGCCGCAAGTTCGCCGCTCCATGCTAGAACTTTGTCTCATGAGTCATTGAAAAATGCTCAACATCTCTTGCGGAATCGCTACCGATGATGAGTCGAAACCATTATAGCCCTTGCCCGAACATGAAGACGGAAAATGGCGCATATGTTGCCCTCAAGGGATTGGTTATTTCCTCCGAGTCAGTTGCGGGTCATCTTAAATCAAGTTTGCATACCTGGATTATTGCTTTGCCCAGAGTCATGCAGTCAAGTGATGAAACAGCGAAGCAGCGAGCTATTAAACATATCTCCGTCGCGTTCCAGGTGGTAACGGAAACCCATTCAAGCTCAGACGTTTTAGATGAGACGATGGCTACTAGTTTGACTGAGAGCGTTGCAACAGCCATTAAATCCTCGTCAAAAACTCCTCAACTTTTACCACCTGCGCCCAATGCCAGCCTTGACATTGTTTTAGGAGATATCACTGGATCCCAGTCATTCCAACCAGTTCTCATAGACCATCGAAGCCAGGAAGGAACGCTCTCAGAGCTTCACTCTATGATTAAAAGGCTTCGTGAAATGGACTCGTCGTTATCCCTGACAAAATCAATGATGGGTAGGCTTTACGGTTCATCGGGCGAGACAGCAGCGGCACCCTTTTGGATTACGCTGTCACTTTTGAAGGAAAGATCAGCAAATATCATGTCAATGAGTGATATACTCGACATCGATACTTTAATGCCAGAAGCGTCGCAAGCCAGCCTAATTGAGGAATTGTATTCCATATCTCTACCCATACTTACTGAGCTTCCAACAGCCAACCCCGAAGAATGGCGTGTTCCCGCACTTGCGCTTGAAGCTGTGGCTCTTCAAGCACAGCAATTAGCCGAGACTTTTCGTCCCGAACTAATTGACGTATTGTACCCAGTCCTTCAGTTAATGGGCTCAAGCAACCCAAGCTTACAAAACCACGCCATGACTTGTCTGAATATAATGACGCGCGCATGCGGGTACTCTGATACCAGTACAATGCTTATTGATAACGTCGACTACTTGGTTAATTCGGTTGGGATGAAATTCAATACCTTTGATATCTCACCCCAAGCGCCGCAAGTGCTCCTTATGATGATTAGGCTCTGCGGTGCGAGCTTGATACCTTATTTGGATGACTTGATTGGATCAATATTCTCCATTCTTGATGCTTTCCACGGCTACCCTAAGCTGGTTGAACTACTTTTTGCAGTGCTGGGAGCAATCATTGATGAGAGCGCAAAATCACCAACAATATTGGCTATTACAAGTGATGCGCAAGTTGATACGAAAATCGATGGCCAACCGCGGTACAAGCCCCGTACGATCTCTGATATCGTGGTAGAGTTCAAGAGGAGGAGAAAACGACGTGCTGAACACGATAGTCATGAAGCAGACAACTCTGAAGTACTTGAACCTCACCCGAAGCGTCCCTGGAAAGGGATTTTGGGTAGGGAAGCAGGAGAAGAAGCAGGCGAAGCGGACGAGTCCCAAACAAATCAATCACCACCGCAGGGAGACGATGAAGACAAGGCCCTTAGCAAGCCTCACAATCTCCTAATAAGCATCTTGAAGTCCATCCCTCCGCACCTCTCTTCACCATCGCCGCATCTACGACGCTCCCTTTTGACCATACTGTCTCGTGCTATGGCTGTACTTGCACCCGACGAGAATAGCTTTTTACCCCTGGTAAACGATATTTGGCCTTCCGTTAGTGCCCGAATCACATTGGCTCCAAGTTTGGCTTCTAATACTTCTACTTCTTTGGCATTGACGAATCCACATCCGCGAGCCCCAAGTGGTCTGGATGAAATGAACATACAAGAGCAAGCGTATGTCATTGTCGCTTCTTGCCAGACTATTGATGCGATGTGTCGAGGGGCAGGAGACTTTATGTCGTCACGGGTAGAACACGATTTTCCGAAGTGGAAACAAATATATACCAAATGCTGGCAGCGGGTTAAACACGACGCAGACCTCGCGTTCGAAAGACATCAGCAGCACCAGCGACGTTTGGACCAAGCCCGAAGACGGGAGAATGATCCCAACAAGACGATATCTCAAATTGAGCACCTTACCATCACACAAACCTCATCCACCAACGAAACCACCACTACTTCAACAATCTCCTCCTCATCCACTCCTTCTCTCCCACGTGGACCTCCGCCACTCCCACATTTTGCCAGCAAATCCTTCACTCCTCATCACAACATCTGGAGCGCTCTCACATCCCTTTTTACCACTATCCTCGTCCACGTCCGCCTTCCCCTGGACGTAGGGGATGATATCTGTCAATGCCTGGGGCGCTGGATCCCCTCCTTCTATCCGAACTACTACTTCACATATTCATGGAAAGATACGCAATGCTCGCCGGCTGACGATGCACAGACGACCAGGAAAACAAGGCCTGATAGCTCAAGTAGTGAAGTGGACATTGACGCGACCATTCGCGCGATGGATGCCTGGAATGCGGATCTGACTTGGCTTATTTTTGCACGAGGTAGAGCAAAGAGCGCAGACAATAGGCAGGAAGGAGGGTTCGATGTGATGAGGACGAACCTAAATGGTAGGTTGGCGAAGATACTAAATTCGTCGGCGGAGAAGGAAGATGTTGGCCGCCGCCGATTTGCAGAGATGGTATTTTAAGGGTGTGTGGCGCGAACGGAATCGTACGGAGTATGTATGACACTGGATTTGTCTACTTTTTGTACAGAATGGATGAATGGAAAAATTCCATCAAAAGTGGATCTTGAGCCGCACAGTGAGGGAGTAATGTTATAGAAAACTACGTGTAGGAACAAAGGACCTCTAACTAGCGAAGCCAAAAGGAGAGATGGCGCCGTTTTGAAGACAAAGGGGAGATATTTCAATTTGACCCTAAGCAAACCTACTATTTTGAACCCAACAAGAATATCAATTTCAATGAGTGGATAAGAATGACCATAAAGATAAAGGGAATGAACCGATACCCGAAAGCAGCAAGCACAGCCATGAAATGTCGCGAGATATAACCTGAGTGAGTCGAATATCTACGGACAACGTCCTGCGAGCGGACTGTGTCGCTTTACTCCTCGTCTTCACTTTCATCTTCACTCTCGGCGGTCTCGAGCCATTCGAGGAACTTCTCCGCAGCCTTACGAACCTTCTTGCTTGTAGGCAGGTCGACGTACTTCTTGCTGGCCTTCGAACCCCAGCTTTTGAGAACTTCTTCTGACACCAGATCTTCCTGGTAATAAGCGAGCAGGATGGCTGGAACTTGCGGAATGAGTTCGGGACGTTCTTTTCCAACGAAACGTTCAGTGCCCCCGAGAAGGGCCTTCATATGGCGCTCAGAGGTGATCTATCGTGTAATAATTATTAGCAAATAAATTGCAACGATTCTTGCTG